TAACACATGTAGTGGGACACACCACACAACCAAAACAAGCACCATACGACATAGAAAAGCGTATAAGAGACACCATTCCCCCTTTACCAAGGCCTTAAGATGCACAGAGATGCACGACTTAAGAAACAGATTGAGAATGCCAACGAAGTCAGCCCATCAGTGTCCTACAGCCGTGTTATGGAGGTAAAACAAGCTTTTGCACGATCAGTCTCAGTCTGCAAGCGCCATTCTGAGGATAGAATTGTTCTGCCAAACTAATCTGCGATGCAATCTTTTTGTCACCTTTGATGTGGACAACTTGGATAGTCATAATAAGGGAAACTGTTCACAGGATGAGTTTCATGGCACTGCTTTGAGTGCAACGAACCATCTATCTTGGGAAAACCAAGGAGTAAAGCGAGCTCCTATTCAACTGGACTTCTCTGATACATCTGTGCCCCGACTCCCATAATCATATGCTATCATACATCCAGTTGAGCTACACAACACTCGCTTGTCTGTACCTGGAAGCATCAACAGCCAAATTCGACCATGTGATGATATGGTGCATGGGGCCAAGACGAAGGACAAATCCCGGATGGCACATGTCATCACAGTGCTTCAGCAGGGCTCTTGTTCAGAAGAAGACTCTCTGAAGCCTCAGGCAGTGATAGGGATTTTTCCTCTCTTTCCATACAAAGCAGCATCTCCATTCATGACAAAACATACATTGGAACTCACCATGCAAGGTACAGAGTTCCCGAAAACCGGGTAGACGGGTGTTCTGGGTGCAGATCAGCCCATTTATGCTATAGCAAAGCAACTACAATGGACATTTCCAGACATTTTAGGAGAAGATAAGTTGGTTCTGATGATGAGAGCATTGCATATTGAAAACAAAGTTCAGCATATGATTGGAAAGTTCAGGTTGGACTACAGTACTTTCTCAGGCAAAGGTTCTAACATCTGGCTGTGCTGAGTCAGTTCTTAATGAGCAGCATATCAAGCGCATACGTTATGCCCACCAAGTATCTGTAATGTCTCTTCACCTCCTTAAGCACAAGGCATGTTCTACTTACTACTCGAATGTTCATGGACCACGTCTGAGTCACAGGAGATGTGGGATCAACGCTCCAGAACCGAAATTCCACAGTTCAAGTACTGGTCTACCATCATGGAGCTTGAGCTATTGATGTGTCGCTTCATTCGGGGGGAGATTTCCTTCTCTATATCCGAGTATGTGATGAGCACTGTCCATGGTGATGGACCACACAAACTATGCAAGATGGCTTCCAATACATGTGCGGGATATGGTCCAGCTGTCAGAGGAACACCCGAACATACATGATGAATTTCTCAAAGGGAACCACACAATTTCAGCCTTATTGGAAAGGATTAGTCATACGAACAATCCAATAGGAGGCTACAGGCACATGGCGGAGCAGCAGGACTCTATGAGAACCCTGAAGCACTTAGGCTCTTCATGTTTGTAGGTCAAGACTGCTCGAGATGTGTTGTAGAGTTTGAAACTGTCCTAGACACACCAAAGTCTAGCACTGCTCATCACGAAGAAACACATAGCTTGCAAGTTAAGTATAGGAAGGGTGTCCTGTCATTTGTTGAGATTGTTGAGCAGCTAGGCAATCCCTTTACTACTGGTCAAGAACTTGCAGCACTCGAAACACAAGAAATTATGGAACAGGAAGTCGTTACATCTCTCGCTAGGGTCCACGCTCTCGCTAGAGTTCATGAAGTTGGCGAAGAGCTTTATGCACAATACGTCTTACAGACACTCGATAAGGTGACAGTGCCAGTGACAAACACTATCCAACGCGAAAAAATTCTGTCGTTCGCCAATCGTCCTGATCTGACCAAAAAAGGAAACAAAACCAGTTGCTTACAGAAGAAAAATATGACTAATGACAACACTCTTCCTTTCACTACAATCACGACCAGATGTAGATATGGAAGAGTTTGTTCATTTTGAAAATCAAAGGGAACCACCAAGTTTGGCTGATCGTGGTTCACTTTGATTCGGCAAAAAGTCTGATATTCTGGAATGCATAAAAGCGCCAAAAAAGCGCACTTCCAGCCAAATTAGCCACAGTTGCTGTGCTTGACATGGCAGCTGTTGTTCATATGGTGTGGCCCACATCAGCGAAGACATTTGCTGAGTATATTACCAGCACATTGTGCCATTCCTGGAGTCTCAGATAACCGAAACAGTTGCAGGTATAGATGCCATATGGGATAACTACCCAGAAAACAACCTCAAATCTCTGTTGTGAAAGGTCTTGCACCGGAAACTGTAAATGCAGTAGAGCTGGAGTCCACTGCACGGGGTTATGCAAATGCGAAGATTGATGTTGAACGATCACAATACCTCGATCAGTTAAATTAAACCTTGCTACAGTGATGTTTAACTTACACTAGAAATATTTAAGCATGGTAGTTTTTTTTAAATTTCTGATGTTGTTCTCAGTTGTGAAATTTTTCTGTGAGGTAAAATGACCATAAAAAATATTTGGTTTGAATAAAATATGTTTTCAACCACTAAATTGGCCAAAACGCACTTCTATGTCAAAACAAAGATCACGTTTGGAATCCTTGAGGTCTAAAACCTGTAAACAAGCCTTAATACATGATCCTATGACTCATGGTTTTGAAGTTAGGACCAAATCAAATAGGGACTGGCGGCCATCTTGGATTTTGCCAACATGGCCGCCCAAGTGAGCGTCGGCTTTGGCGCCCACCAAAAATGGATTTAGTATGCTCTGGTCTACATCTGTGCCAAATTTGGTGCTTGTAGACACATCTGCACAATATCCCCCTAAGGTCCTGGACTAGTAGCGCATTAATACATAACACCACTGTCATAAGTGACGTCATCCCATGTGCTGCTTACTTCTCATAAATAATGTGACCCTACACAAAAAGGTTTCCGCCATATCCGAGGATTATCAAGGCGATGATGATATTAATGCAAACAAAAAGAAAAAACGTTCGTGAGAAACCCATCTTAGATAACTGGTATCAAACATAAGTGTGAGATCAAATTACAGGCCAGTGATTGGCTACTCCATGGTGATGACCTGAGGTCAGATTATGACAGACTACTTTCCAGATCGTAAGTCATTCATAAGTTGCTCGTGCTTCAGTCGAATGTCCACCTACGTCTCTGTTGAACTACTGGTTTTAGTGTGTAAATAGCTTTATTCCTGTGTTATGGGTTTTCGGACGCTATAGAGACATTCGCTGATCACAAGAACCGTAAAACATCTCATTCAGTTATCAAAGACAGCTTTATCTAGAAATCAAGCCATCATCTGAGTATTTACAATGTCTGTTGACACCACAACCCTCATTGTAGCGGGAGTAATTCGCGATAAACATGATATCCGAAAACAAAATGATCCGACGATATATATGTCTCTCCTCTTCGAAATCGACTATTATAATTTGAAATACATCACGCACATTAAAAGTTTTGAATTCTGTTGGATATCTCCCCTTCTGTGATATCATCCACTGTCATTTTAGGCAAAGCAAAATTACTGTGTGTTTAGAAATCTAACGGATATTGGACATTTAGTCGAAGGATTAAATTTTTTAAAAAGCACATTAGTCATCACGGGAATGATAATTCTGAAATGTCGCAGAGGAACCTGGAATCGTTTAGAATGTTTTTGAAAATACCCAAACACGAACGCCGAAGTGCTCTTTACGCCATAATAGATAGTGTTGACAAAAATCACGTTATGTGTAAGAATAGAGATTACTACACGAGTGCCAGTCAGATACCATTTATCTTACGAGTTGTTTCAAAGTGTTCTAACGAGCTCGCTTTCCCTCGTTAGATACGTTTTGAAACAACTCGTAAGAGAATGGTATCTGACAGGCACAATTGCAGTACTCTGTTTCTTACACACCCTAAAATCTCACCTTTTTAGCATCGAATGGATGCATTTTTCTGTTGTCATGATCCCAGTAGCGCATAAATACATAACACACCGGTAATGAGTGATGTCATCCGATGTACTGCTTACGATTCACAAATAATGTGACCCTACACCTAAACCTAAAAACGTTTCCGCCATCTGTCGATTACGAAGGCGATGACGATAGTGCAAACTAGATAAGATTAAAAAGGGCCCGCATGATGCCGAGTTAAAACATTCACCTCAAACAAATTACCAAATATGTACAACAATGTTTACTCCCGTATGACATCACTGCCAGTGACCGACTTCTACAAAATGGCAGGTTCACTGACAACAGTACGCGAGATTTTCAGAGGAGGATTTTCGTTGATTGAGGGAAGGTATATACATAAATGTGTCATGTAAGTAATCAGAAACAATCGGACAATCTGCGTACTGTTATTTGTTATGTTTTCCAATGGAACCAAAAGAATTTGTCAGAAATACAGATAACTTCCGTTGCATTGTGCGTGATTTAGCGTTAGTCATGGCGTCACACAGGACGGAAACTTTTACGATTTCTGTTGAATTTTACTGATCATTGTAATGTATATAATTTTAATTCCATAATTCGTGCAACTTGCACACACCAGTGATGACGTGCCATAGCATGAGGGTAACGAGGTGTGGGTCACTATACCTTATACACCGCAACTTCAAACAAAATGCAAACGAGAATTCATATTAAATTTGAGGCTAACGGTTAACAATACAGCCAATATATTTTTTAAGCATACATACATACATACCTGGTCGTGTCATACCAAGAGACGTTAAAAGATGGTGCTTGTTGTTACTCTGTCTGGCACTCGGCATTAAGGGGATAAAACAAAGACTGGTCGGCTCAGAGTCAGTATACTGTGTCTGAGTTGGGTATTCATGTTGAACCGCGGCATGGTATCTCAGTGGGCTATCAGTATAATCGGCATCGGCCTGGACTAGTACAAGCAACCACACACACTCACGTGCATGCACGTCGCTATGTTAGTGCAATAGTCATGGGCGTGACGTTAAACCCAATTTCACCTAACCTCTTTTCAGACCTGGTTGAGACGCAAAATGTATTCAATCGAGCGACCCCTGCAGGAACTGTTGATGAAGGTAGGCACTGTCACCCTTTATTCGGATAATTGGAGAATGTTTGTCAACTGTGTAGTGGAAGCTGATAATTATGAAAAAGAAATGCATCATATAAATATGTAACCTGGATTAAACTGGTGTGTCAAATATCAATAAATACTCTCCAAAAAAGGAAACGCAAAAGTTAACATAGATGTATTTTTTATGTATAGTAAATAATCAACAGATGGTAATCGAATGTTCAAAATTTGCATGCATCATTCTCATTAACCCAGGTCCCATATCGCACTCATGGAACAGTAGATTCGGAACATGGTTCTCACATTGTTGTGTTTTTTTTCTTTTCACCAAATTTGTACAGTGCCTCTTTTTTCCCTTCAAATCAATCCCAATCAATGCAGAAACCAATTTTGGTATTAATATTGTAAGGATATCGGCAGATATAGACGATTTCACTACTTTTGTAATTTATATTTTGACAGAGTATATTTCCTTTTATGATGTTAAGTTAATTCCGTAATAACCTGATCATCCCTTATTCGGCTAACTTGAATGAACACTGTAATCAGTCCATGACAGTGTCTGAGAGAGTGTCTGGAGCGAGAGAGTATTCGCCTTCTTTTCTTCCTATAAGAGAGTGTCTCATCCCATGTGACAACCCGAGTATGTTTCAATCATATGATCTCTCATCCTACCCATGTCCTTATTGTACCAGTTGCCTTGCATATCTATGTTTACATTGAGGTTTTCCGATTTTGTTCAATGAATGTAATTGAATATACTCTGCATGGATGGTTATGCAGCTTTCGAATCCAGTACAAAACCGGAATGGGCTTGTCTTCCGGATTTAGAATCAAGCCAAAATGGATGCAACTGTTTTGTGCGGGTTTTCAGCTTACATACTGGTCTTATATGTAGCATTAAATGTCACTTTTACCAAGTTCTTTGATCAAACAAGTAAGGCAGTGATGCTCACACATAGCAGTTATGTTATTTGCGGCCTTGTCAGTGGAAAGTATAAACCTGTCATGTAGGGCATCCAGACTTTGGGTAACAGCTGTCTGGGACAGAATCGTTTTCATGGGTTTATAATTGGTGCATTCTACCAATGAAAACAACACAAACAGACTCTTCAACACTATTAACTAGATCCCACCCTCTTCTTGTTATTGTATATTGCATGTTGCTTGCATCAAATCGGGGATTTTGTAAAAGCTCCAGCCTCAATTATTGACAGACCTCCGCGGTATAGTTCAAATGGTTGGGTGTGGCGTAAATCAATATTCACTCATTCAATATGTTATGACAACCATGGGGACCTGGGGACCTACAATGTCCAGAAAATCTCCAAAATAACACTTCCGGGTTCATCAACGTATCCCACTTGCGTGCTTGCCCATGAAGCCCATCACAACTCAATGAGCACTGAGACAGGCATATGGGTCACTGACCTATGACGCTAAGGTCAGATTGAAGAAGAATTGTTTACTTGAGTTTGAGATGTTTGCTTATGATCCTGTGCCAGACTTCGTGTTTGGGGAATTCCAGAATGATGACAATATGATTTGTTTTATAACAAATACACCTGACAATAGAAAATAGTGGTGTTCATACAAAGATATAGACTATGAGCTTATTAAATCCATGTCGAGTGACATGGAAGAATCACAGGTCTATATATTAATCATGTATTACATGGGGCTTCATATTAGAAATGATCGGTACTTATTAGCAAGTTGATGGTATGTTATTGTGTCTGTATGTAGAAGTTATGTTTGTTTGTTTGCATGTTTGTTTGTTGTTTAATGCCACACTCAGCCATATTCTAGCTATATGACGTCAGTCTGTAAATAATCGAGACTGGACAATCCAGTGATTGATATCATGAGCATCGATCATTGCATTTGAGATAAAGATGACATGCATTAACCAAGTCAGCGAGTCTGACCACGCGATCCCGTTAGTCATCTCTTATGCAAACCAAAGTCGCCTTTTTACGACAAGCATGGGTTGCTGAAGACCTATTCTACCCCGGATCTTCAAGTAGTTATGAAAAGTTTTCCTTTCACTGCTTGTAAATAACGGCAGTATAGTCATATGATGAAAGAAAAATTTGTTCTACTATTTATTGATTTGGTCTGTCATTAGAAGGCATTCGGAGACTTCGATCGGCATTTACGATGTAGCCATGACTCCTTTGTATGTGTTACACTACTATTGACGTGCCATGAACGTAGGCACACACTGAGTCACAATGGCAGATACATTGCAGCACCCACCAGTGATGTCCTGCCACTTCATGAGGGTCACAAATTGTTGGTCCCTTCTCAATACACCCCTAATACACCACACTTCTGTAAATCACTATTTTTTCCCAGATCTGTATACCAAAGTGCTAAAAGTAATTTCAGTCGAAAAAGATATGACAAACGATATTCATAGCAGTTTATGACAAATACCAGTAACCCTGAACTGTTTTATATGAGTATATGGGCAGTAAACATTCAGTTGGCTGCTCTTCTGACTCTCGGGAATTCGCTGTATCAAAACTTAGGTAACTAATATTGAATGATGGTAAAATTGTTGTCACAACCTTAGTTTTGTCCTTCACAAATGTCTAAAAGATAACCAACAGTACTTTACCGCCTTTTGTATATATGCACTCCCGCAAGGTCAGAAACGTAGTTCATCATGATAATGATGAGACATGTTAATATTAACAACAACTGAATTCCATTAAATATGGTGTTATTTCTCTCCTAAAATATACTGCTGTCACAATTATCAAATACCGGTAGCTTGATCACACTCTAGGCAGTACAGTCGGAATTTTGGTGCTGATTAGAAAGATTATTTGGATGCTATCCTGTTGAAAAGAGGATTTTTTCCATAGTACCAGGACGGTGTCGATTCTTTGTTGAATTTGTTTTTGTCCGTCAAACCATACTTTATTCAGTTAATCCCTTACCGCTGTGGACTGTTTTTCAGGCGGAGTCCCTCAAGCCGTTACTCAGAATATTGGTACGCAGAACGTATTTCCTGGACCGACCCCTGCAGGGACTGTTGGTGAAGGTAGGCAATGTCAGCCATGATTCAGGTTATTCTAGTTTTGTATTGGAGCTAATACGTATGGAAAGAAAACATATAATAATTTATAATCTAGAAGTAAACTGTTCTATGACATATAAATATTATCCATAATGGTTGTATCTTCGTGTAATTACTTTCCCATATTTGCACATGTGCATTTAAGCGATTTTCAATGTTAATCCGTCAATTAAAGCCATATGACATCATCCATTGTTAACGTCACAAATTCATTTCATTACGATCTGAAAAATAGGCTGCAGATTATCTTTACCCCGTGAAAGAATACTGTAAGAACACCATTTATTCACTCGGGACATATAATCGGTAATTCCTCAAAGGTCGTTTATTATTCTATATATGTAATATATGATCTAATGTCAATTTGAGCATAAATTGAATGTCTGTTTTTCAACTGTGATCAGACCATAGCGCTGTATGAGAGAGTGTCTGGAATGAGAGAGGGTCCGCTTTCTTATCGCCCCATGAAACAGTGTCCTATACCACGTTACTGCTGAAAACGACAGTATTTTGTAATATTAAAAATCATCCCCTAGCCAACTTCTATTGTACCAGTATATCTGATTCACTTTGTGGATGTAACGTCCCAGCGGACTTGCAGACCTAAGTTTTAAATTTGTGCATTCTATATATGACAACACGCACACCAAATTTACACACTCTGTTGGACATTCAAAAGGTTCTTCTCTATTGGTCCATTTTGTTACATACACTTCGACAACATCCATAACTGATATAAAGTTGTGACCTAAATTGGTAATATTATGGTTCATATTTGAATAACTGGCGAAAGTTGCTTAGGTCAACGATAGAGACGCCACCCGTAATTATAAGATCCAGACACAAGACGTGTAGTTTACACAATGAACCGCCAACATTTCAAACCTACATACTAATAGATATTTTCACCTTGGTCTGGTGCGTCATATGTACACGTAAGTGAACATTTTGCTTAAAGTATTCCTTCGACCATTCCTTTGACTGTACTGAGTGACTACGGGGCATACAATAGCAGGGGTTGTCTTTGTGTTTGTAACAGAAAATTGAAAGATATTTCTTCATGCTTGGAAGAACATTGTGCCATCTTTGCGTGACATCTGTATGAACAAGACAATATCGTAAACTAATTGAAACATGAATAGATAGTGAGTATGATTTGTGTATATTTAGAAACAATTCATGATCAGCTGTATTCAAGAATGTGTCTCAAAACAGGCAAAGAAAAAGGAACTTGAGAAACAATATTATAAATTTATGAATAGTGAAGAAAAACATAAAGAAAACATAGATAAATATTCAATCTGTTTGGGAGATGCAAGGATATATCAAAGTATTATTTGTTGTTGTTAAATAATGTGCTTGTGGTCATAACACCATTTAATAGACAAACAAATTTTAAATGTTCTTCCAAGCAATGAAAATTACAAAATCAATTGCTTTTTCCAGAAACTAATTTGTATATGAGCTTACTTATTTCGTCTAGAGATATTCATTTGTTATGTCTACTGTGGGTTTGGAGTGGATTCGTGGAACAATCCTTCTTTAGAATACTAATAGTACTTAAAGCATCTTGTGAGTCTGGCACCATGTGGGATTATGGGATTGTCCTGGTGGACGCTGTTGCCTACTTTAGGATTTTTAGATTGCCGAACACTCTCTTACCAAAACACTTTCTCATATGGCAGTCCCTTCCTATTATTTGTAACAAAGTAGTTTGAAAACGACACATCATTAGCATCTCTAATTGTATTACATGCATGAAAGATATAATGATTTTCTGTTTTCATTTCAAGCTACCCTTGTCCTACAAATAAGAGCCGCAGAAGAAGTCTTTGTTGAAGCAGAAGCCTTCAGAACTGCCAAAATAAAGCTGAAGGAATTTGGCCATGTCACCATCTGTGGTGCTTCAGGAGAAGGGAAAACCACGACAGCTCTTATGTTGGGTTCACAATACAGAAGAAACGGGTACAAGCTTGCTTTTGTGGACAGGATTGATCAATTTGACTTGGATAGCTTCTTGAGGTCAGCACCTAGAGTATTTCTGATCATAGATGATATGTTTGGATCGGTTGGACTATCTACAGATGTTTCCCAGCTGAAACCCTGTCTGAGTAAGCTTGTTCTTCACTTACAGCGATGCAAGAAGGCTTTAGGGAAACAACATTCACTCAGAAATCATCCAGCTAAGAAAGGAGGAGAAAAGGAGAGTACTGGAGCTTCGGACCCAGCACAACTACCTTCGAAGGATATCCGTGTTGTGTTTACCTCCAAGACCTACAACTTCCAAGTTGGGCTTGATCAGATGCAGTATGAGGGGTTCTCGTTGTTCAAGGGACAAACAGTGGTGGATATAACAACACAAACGAAACACAGATATACTCAAGTAGAGAAGAAAGCAATATTTGAGAAACACAGAAACCTCCACAATGAAAATGACACAGATTATGAAGACATGCTACAAGGCGACCTGTGGGATGCCGATTCTGTGTTTGGATTTCCACTTACTTGTAAAATATTTTTTGAAAATCCATCCTTTTCCAGACATAAAATGAACTTTTTCAAGGAACCACTGTTTTATCTTAGATTAGAACTTAAAAGCTTACTGGCATCAAAAACTGATCGATCAGCCATATTGGTTCTTATGCTACTGTGTGAGGAGAAGTTAGATTTGGCAAAGCTGGAATCAGCAGGAAAGGACCAGGTACTGGACAATATGATTAGAAATGTGTTAGAATTGTTCCCAATAGCTTCATGTGCAGGAATGTACGAAGCATCAAAGAGCTTCAGAGGAACATACTTCACACATGGCGATACCGTTGGATTTGCCCACTCTTCGATCCATGATGCCTGTGCTTGTGCGTTGTACAAGATCAGTCCAACATTTGTGCTGACTCACTGCAGTGACAACTTCATATATGAGAGAGTGCAACCCCAGCCAGCACCAGCAACTGAGATTGATGAACACCTTCATGTCATCTACATCTCAGAAAGTTACTATGACATTCTAACCACACGGTTTGCAAAGTCAATAAAAGATGGGCATTTTTCCAAATCAGTGACACACCCCATTCTCCAACAAGACCAAATAGTTCTTCAACTTCTTGAAAAACTTCAACCTGATGAATCCATTGAAGAAAGTTGGTTTCACAAAAGAGAAATGGGCCAGAGTTTCCTTTTCTGGACTGTACTTGGACATAGTTCAAAGTTTCCCAAATATATAGAAAAGAAAACTGGTGAAGAATTTACGCAAATAGAAATCATAGAATCCTTTGCAGGTTGTGTTTTTAAAAACAACGTGGCATTGTTAAAGTGGCTTTTCTCTAGATGTTCACATCAAGTCGTTGGTGTCACCATTAATAGCCTGCTTTTGCTGTCTGCTAGCCATGGAAGTTCTGAAACACTTCTTTATCTATTAGAAGAAGGTGGCGATACAGTCACTACTGCTGAAAATTACAAAACCATCATACATAAAGCGTGCAGGACAGGACAGCAGAAGATACTAAATTTGTTAAAAGAACACAATAGCGACCTCTTTCAGACTGTTGTAATGAACTCTGTAGATGATGAAGGCAAAACTCCACTCATGGAAGCAGCACAGGCAGGATCAAATGGCTGTTACAAGATTTTGAAATCAATGTCAAAGAAGAACATTAGGGACAAGTCCGGGAATGCAATAGTACACTGTGCATGTTTAGGTGGTAACATTGCTACAGTACGAGATATCCTGTCATCTTCTAACATCAATAGCAGAGGACAGTATGGACGTACACCAGTCATGGTAGCAGCTTGCCAAGGGCACAAAAGTGTATTTGATCTCCTCAGGTCAAAGAAGGCTGACCTGACGCTGGTGGATGACCATGGTAATGGCTTACTTCATCATGCCTGTATTGGAGGTAACACAGATATAGCACAACATGCTGTGTCACCTTCTAACAGAAATACTAGAGGACAGGATGGACATACACCAGTCATGGTAGCAGCTTGTCATGGACACCAAAGTGTGTTTGATCTCCTCGTGTCAAAGAAGGCTGACCTGACACTGATGGATGACCCTGGTGACAGTTTACTTCATCATGCCTGTATTGGAGGTAACACAGTTATAGTACAACATGTGTTGTCACCTTCTAACATCAATACTAGAGGACAAGGTGGACATACACCTGTCATGGTAGCAGCTTGTCAAGGGCACAAAAGTGTATTTGATCTCCTCAGGTCAAAGAAGGCTGACCTGACGCTGGTGGATGACCATGGTAATGGCTTACTTCATCATGCCTGTATTGGAGGTAACACAGATATAGCACAAATTGCTGTGTCACCTTCTAACAGCAATACTAGAGGACAAGATGGACATACACCAGTCATGGCAACAGCTTGTCATGGACACCAAAGTGTGTTTGATCTCCTCGTATCAAGGAAGGCTGACCTGACACTGCTGGATGACCATGGTGATAGTTTACTTCATCATGCCTGTGAGGGTGGTAACACAGCTATAGTACAACATGTGTTGTCACCTTCTAACATCAATACTAGAGGACAAGATGGACATACACCTGTCATGGTAGCAGCTTGTCAAGGGCACGAAAGTGTATTTGATCTCCTCGTGCCAAAGAAAGCTGACCTGACGCTGGTGGATGACCATGAAGACAGTTTACTTCATCACGCCTGCCGTGGTGGTAACACAGCTATAGTACAACATGCGGTGTCACCTTCTAACATCAATACTGGTGGACAGCATGGACTTACACCAGTCATGATAGCAGCTGGTCACGGACACCAAAGTGTGTTTGATCTCCTCGTGTCAGAGAAGGCTGACCTGACACTGGACGATGGCCATGGTAATAGTTTACTTCATCTTGCCTGTAAAGGTGGTAACACAGCTATAGTACAACATGTGTTGTCACCTTCTAACATCAATACTAGAGGACAAGATGGACTTACACCAGTCATGATAGCAGCTGGTCACGGACACCAAAGTGTGTTTGATCTCCTCGTGTCAGAGAAGGCTGACCTGACACTGGTGGATGACCATGGTAATAGTTTACTTCGTCTTGCCAGTGATTGTGGTAACACAGCTATAGTACAACTTGTCTTGTCACCTTCTAACATCAATACTAGAGGAAAGTATGGATTTACACCTGTCATGGTAGCAGCAGCAGCTGGACACCAAAGTGTGTTTGATCTCCTCGTGTCAGAGAAGGCTGACCTGACACTGGTGGATGACTATGGTATTAGTTTATTTCGTCGTGCCTGTGATGGTGGTAACACAGCTATAGTACAACATGTCTTTTCCTCTTCTGACATCAATACTAGAGGACCGAATGGAGATACACCAGTCATGATAGCAGCTAGTCTAGGATACCAAAGGCTGTTTGATCTCCTTGTATCAAAGAAGGCTGACCTGACACTGGTGGATGACCATGGTAATAACTTACTTCATCGTGCCTGTAATGGAGGTAACACAGCTATAGTACAACATGTGTTGTCCCCTTTTAACATCAATACTAGAGGACAGTTTCGAGATACACCTGTCATGGTAGCAGCTCGTAGAGGGCACAAAAGTGTGTTTGATCTCCTTGTGTCAAAGAAGGCTGACCTGACACTGATGGATGACCAAGGAGACAGTTTACTTCATCTTGCCTGTGATGGCGGTAACACAGCTATAGTACAACATGTGTTGTCACCTTCTAACATCAATACTAGAGGGCGTTATGGGTATACACCTGTAATGAAAGCAGCAGAAGCCGGACAAATACGTTTGTTTGATATAGTATCAGCGACGGCTGACCTGACACTGATGGATGACTATGGTAATAGCTTACTCCATCATGCCTGTGATGGTGGTAACACAGCTATAGTACAACATGTGTTGTCCCCTTCTAACATCAATACCAGAGGCCATGTTGGACGTACACCTGTCATTGTAGCAGCTTGTAAAGGGCACAAAAGTGTGTTTGATCTCCTTGTATCAAAGAAAGCTGACCTGACACTGGTGGATGGCGATTGTAATAGCTTACTTCATCTTGCCTGTGTTGGTGGTAACACAGCTATAGTACAGCATTTGGTGTCACCTTCTAACATCAATACTAGAGGACAGTATGGACACACACCAGTCATGGTAGCAGCTGGTAAAGGACACCAACGTGTGTTTGATCTCCTCGTATCAAAGAAGGCTGACCTGACACTGGTGGATGGCGATTGTAATAGCTTACTTCATCTTGCCTGTGCTGGTGGTAACACAGCTATAGTACAGCATTTGGTGTCCCCTTCTAACATCAATACTAGAGGAGCGTATAGACTTACACCAGTCATGGTAGCAGCCTGTGAAGGGCACAAAAGTGTGTTTGATCTCCTTGTGTCAAAGAAGGCTGACCTGTCACTGATGGATGACCATGGAGACAGCTTACTTCATCTTGCCTGTGCTGGTGGTAACACAGCTATAGTACAACATGTTGTGTCATCTTCTAACATCAATACTAGAGGACAGTATAGACTTACACCAGTCATGGTAGCAGCCTGTAAAGGGCACAAAAGTGTGTTTGATCTCCTTGTGTCAAAGAAGGCTGACCTGTCACTGGTGGATGACCAAGGAGACAGTTTACTTCATCATGCCTGTGTTGGTGGTAACACAGCTATAGTACAACATTGTTGTCCCCTTCTAACATCAATACCAGAGGCCATGTTGGACGTACACCTGTCATGGTAGCAGCTTGTAAAGGGCACAAAAGTGTGTTTGATCTCCTCGTGTCAAAGAAGGCTGACCTGTCACTGATGGATGACCATGGAGACAGCTTACTTCATCTTGCCTGTGCTGGTGGTAACACAGCTATAGTACAGCATTTGGTGTCCCCTTCTAACATCAATACTAGAGGACAGTATAGACTTACACCAGTCATGGTAGCAGCATCTAAAGGACACCAAAGTGTGTTTGATCTCCTTATGTCAAAGAAGGCTGACCTGACACTGATGGATGACCATGGTAATAGCTTACTTTATCTTGCCATGGTTGGTGGTAACACAGCTATAGTGCAACACGTCTGTCCCCTTCTAACATCAATACTAGAGGACAGTATAGACTTACACCAGTCATGGTAGCAGCCTGTAAAGGGCACAAAAGTGTGTTTGATCTCCTTGTGTCAAAGAAGGCTGACCTGTCACTGATGGATGACCATTGAGACAGCTTACTTCATCTTGCCTGTGCTGGTGGTAACACAGCTATAGTACAACATGTTGTGTCATCTTCTGACATCAATACTAGAGGACAGTATAGACTTACACCAGTCATGGTAGCAGCCTGTAAAGGGCACAAAAGTGTGTTTGATCTCCTTGTGTCAAAGAAGGCTGACCTGTCACTGGTGGATGACCAAGGAGACAGTTTACTTCATCATGCCTGTGATGGTGGTAACACAGCTATAGTACAACACGTTGTCCCCTTCTAACATCAATACCAGAGGCCATGTTGGACGTACACCTGTCATGGTAGCAGCTTGTAAAGGGCACAAAAGTGTGTTTGATCTCCTCGTGTCAAAGAAGGCTGACCTGACACTGGTGGATGGCGATTGTAATAGCTTACTTCATCTTGCTTGTGCTGGTGGTAACACAGCTATAGTACAGCATTTGGTGTCACCTTCTAACATCAATACTACAGGACAGTATGGACACACACCAGTCATGGTAGCAGCTGGTAAAGGACACCAACGTGTGTTTGATCTCCTCGTATCACAGAAGGCTGACTTGACACTGCGGGATGACCATGGTAATAGTTTACTTCATCATGCCTGTAATGGAGGTAACACGGCTAGAGTACAACATGTCTTGTCACCCTCCAACATCAACTTAGGTGGACAAAGTGGTTTGACTCCAATTGTGTTCGCAGCTCTTCGAGGCCATCAAAGAGTGTTTGACCTCCTGGTGTCTAGGAATGCTGACCTGACACAGTGGATAGCAATTGTGATAGTTCGCTTCGTCCTGCCTAACGTGAGGTCAAGACAACAATAGTATGGCTGCCCGTACCACCTACGTATGGTGGTAGATCAAGGAATAAAAGCTGCTCACATTACATAATGAACCTTTATTCTAGCGCATGTTTTCAAAGCAGAAAACCTGTCAAATATACGTTTTAGCTGTAGACAGGCGCCAGAGCAACATGTTGCTCCCAGCATTCGGTCTATTAGTATATCATATCCACTTGTGTTTATGAAACGCTATGAAGGTTTACACGAAAAGGCAGTTCCCGTCACAGTACCACCCACCCCAACACACACGCATGCACGCACGCACGCACGCACACACACAAAAAACACACTCACACTCTTTCTTAAAAGGCATTTCTGGGAACATGTGTCTTTGTTTAATCTGGTTCTAACCATCTATTCTCCCCATGTTTGGTAGCTATCTTCTCATTTTACTAAAACTGTCATCAGCATCATTTTTCTTTTGAAATTAAAGTTTTAGTTAATTGTTTTCTTAAAATCATCCATCAATTTAAATGATTTGAACCGATTTTACTACATCGGTTTATATTCGTCCTGCCTGCTGAGGAGTGAAGAGTTCACAACCAAAACATACAGTTTTTGAAGTTGAAACTGATTGTTTGTGAGAGGTGGTTTTGCAGTACCATCATATTATTGACAATGTTCTATGCATAGAAGACATGAAGAATACATTCTCCTTCCATCTTACAAAACGAGCATTTATTCGTACTGACTAACTTCAATCTCAGGGGTTCTTTTTACATAATTATGTAGATGAATCTATATTGGAAATCCAGAAGTTTCACATGTTTGGTACTTGTTATAAAATGGGTAAACATGTTTCCAGTTCTGATCTTCAGACATCATCTCTGGAGCAAACGTATGTTTTCAAGTTGTGTGTCAAGTACCTGGGTCACACAATATTCAACAACGTTTAGTAATTACAAACAGGTATTTTGCTGGTGCGATAGTACCAGTATTATAGTTCGCTGAAACTTTACTGTCATGGTTTTGATATAATTGAGACCATTCTATAATCTATACATGTTATTATTATTTGGATAGTTTAAGATCAACAGGATATTTAAAGTAAAATTTATACCATACTGGTAAAAGAGTCTTACTATTCAAACCTGTGTAGTTACATGCATAATCATATTGATATTCAGATGCAATGAAAGATGTTTTCACAAGTTTAATCACACCGATATACTATCACAGTTGTCATTACAGCATATATGCCTATCCTATAAATGTCAAAGATCTTTGAAAACTAAGGTGACATGAGGTGAAATGGAGTTTAACGTCGCATCCAAGATTATTGCACCTTGATAGCGACGTGCGTGCGTGCGTGCGTGCGTTTAACATGAATACCCCACTCAGACACAGTATACTGATCCCTGATTGGGGTGGTGGGGGGGGGGGGGGGGGGGGGGGGGGGTGCAAATCTTACCTTCACTTACAAAGCAGATACAAATACTTTCGGTGCCTGTCAAAAAGTAGCGTATTACGATGAGAGAAAAATATGTTTGTGCTATTATCGGAGTCTCCGTAATCAGGGTCGACAACCCACTCACAACAAAGGACTCAACCAATGCCGCTTCACACCATGTGTTTGCCTCGACCAAAGCGTTTGCCTTTTTATTGTCTCCTAAATGAAATCTTTAGTCACACCAAATACAGTTGACAGCAGGACACAACATCTTAAAGCTTATCTTTGTGTAGGGGGCACGGGTAGCTGATTCGCTGTGCAGAGTTGCGTCCCTTGAACCCGCAAGAAACCTATGATTGTGGGTTCGAATCCCGGTTCGCCACGATTATGTTTCTAGGTTTGTCAGCACCATACCCGTGCTCGTGGGTTTCACCGAAGTGGTAAACGTCTGATACCTGCATCACTTCGGGCTTTCCTCCCACATTAAGCTGACATGCCGTGATATAACTGGAATACTGTTAAAAGCGGCGTTAAACCAAACTCACTCACTCACTCTTTGTGTAGTTTGCTTGTAACTTATACCTTGTTTATGGGGTGACAACATCATTGCATATTGACTAAATATAATTCATACCTTTTAGATAAAAGCTACTGTCAGTGACACTATTCCATACTTATGTGGTATAACCTGAAACACAACTGATATCACATTTTGGAATGCATTTCAAGATTCGATAAAATCACGTGATGGTCACCCCAGAAATAAATTTAGAGACAGAAAAAGAACTTTTTTGTAGACGGTAAACAATAATGGCAGTTACTTTATGGTTATTTGTTGATACTATAATATCCCTCCTGATCCGTCCCCGACTTTGGAAGGTACTTATGAGTAAGAGATACTGTCCGTAATTTATTGTACATTTTTGAATGGATAATCTCTGAAAAAAATATACTTTATCTACATGGCTGCGGTCTGTAAATAATTGATTCTGGACCAGATAATCCAGTGATTGACATCCTGATGAAGGGCCACATGTAGCCCTTTCACGTCGTTACAAAACAATAAAGACGTTACCATAAACGAATAATGCCTTCATGTTCTTTTCAACTTCTACGACTATCGAAGACTTTATTTCCATTGTCTTGATTCACGCTAGTTGCGGTATACCGGAAATCCACTGAAGCGTTTGCGCACATGAAAACAACGCATGCATTCCAAGATTATCCCAATAAACAAAGTATAGGTTTCAAAGTCAATAAATATCAGATTCTGCCATTTTCTCACACACCGCATTATTCTGTGACACGATGTATCCAAACAGTCAATGTTCTAGGTATAGCATGTGAGTGAGCGAGTATGGTTTTACGCCGCTTTTAACAATATTCCAGCAATATCACGGCGTGGGACATCAGAAATGTGCTTCACACATTGTACCCATGTCGGGAATCGAACCCGGGTCTTCGGCGTGACGAGTATACCATTCGAAGTACATTCAAGCTGAAACCATCCAAAACAACAAACTTACTTGCATGTCCTCTTGTACCAAACACAGCCAGCTCACTCCGTAATAATCCAAAAATATGGTAAATACGGTAATACATGCACACATCACAACACGATGGTAACTCTCAAATAATTCTCGCTTTAAACGAACAGTATAATAAATTACACTCCTACCATAAATACACATATCATGCATGCATATGCAATGTATTACTTACAAATTTCGGGGCAGAATCATCGCACTTACAACAGCCATACATCAGTGTATCACTCACAGGGTATATCCTGGAGGATAAATGTATATACCAGACTGCTGGCCCTTGTAATTCTGCAGCTTTGTACATTGTTCATATGTATAGACCGTACTTGTATACATAAAACAACTATTGTAGTTTAATACATCAAAATATCTGCCCGTGTAATATTTAATAGGGCGGTCTCTGTCTCTAGTTATCAGGTATGGCTTTTGTTAATTAATTTGTTGAGATGAAACACTGATGAGAGGAAAGACCAAATATTATGTTATTTTCAATATCATAACATTTACATCACTTTAAATGAAGCGCAGTTACTTTTTCCCATGATAATATATAATGATTTCTTGCGACCCTTGACATACAATTAAGTGCTGCAAAAGAAGTCTTTGCTGAAGCAGAAGCCTGGAGTGAGTGAGTGAGTGAGTGAGTCGGGTTTAACGCCGCTTTTAACATTATTCCAGTCATATCGCGGCGTGTCAGCTTAATGTGGGAGGAAAGCCCGAAGTGATGCAGGTTTGAGATGTTTACCACTTCGGTGAAACCCACGAGCACGGGTATGGTGCTAACAAACCTAGAAACATAATTGGGGCGAACCGGGATTCGAACCCACAATCATAGGTTTCTGGCATGCCCAAGGGATGCAACTCTGCACAGCGAATCGCGGCGCCTTAGACGACTGGGCCGCCCGTGCCCCCAGAAGCCTTGAGAAGTGTGAAAAGGAAGCTGAAGGAATTTGGCCATGTCACCATCTGTGGTGCTCCAGGAGAAGGGAAAACCACGACAGCTCTCATGTTGGGTTCACAGTACAGGAGAAAGGGGTACAAGCTGGCGTCTGTGGACAGGATTGATCAGTTTGACTTGGATAGCTTCTTGAGTTCATCACCGAGAGTATTTCTGATCATAGATGATATGTTTGGATCGGTTGGATTAGCGACAGATGCATCCCAGCTGTAACCCTGTCTGAATGAACTTGTTCTTGTCCTGTGTGGACGTCAATTCTGTATTTGGATTTCAACTTACTTGTAAAATAGTTATTGACTTTTCATCTTTTCCCAAACATATGAAGAACGTCAATGCACCACTGTTTTATCTTAGGATGAGATAAAAAAAACTGATCGATCAGCAACATTGGTTCTTATGCTACTGTGAGAGGAGAAGTTAGATTTGGCCATGTTGGAATCGGCAGGAAAGGAAGAGGCACTGAACAATATGGTCAGTGGGTTGACACCAGTTGTGTGTTTAAGGACAAAGGGTGTATGACCTACTGTCAAGGAATGCTGATCTGACACAGTGGACAGCAATTGTAATAGATAAATTTAACCTGATGTCAGGATGGCAATAGTAAAGCTGCCCATCCAACTCCATCTAGTTGCAGCTCCTGAAATACAAGCCACCATTCAACTCTCCACCACAGGTTTTCAAAGATGAAGACTGCCTCTGTGGTCTCATGGATAGAGCATCTGCCCAGAGAGCAAAAGGTGGGTTGTTCGATACCCAGCCACGTCATTCCGAAAGACGTAAAAGATTGTAGTCCTTGTTATCCTGCTTGGCACTCACACTAAGCAAAGTGTGCAGAATCACAACATGTATACTTAATCGGATGACCAATTCCCCCATGATTGGTTAACTCTGCTCTGATTATGGTTGATTAATGCGAATGAAGCCAACAGACATTCAGTACTTGGTGTTGACAAAGGATCATTATCACTCACATCTAGGGCTTCAAACCTACCACCAGTGGATCCTCACATGGTTAAGGGACACAACTCTTCATATCAACTTGTGGTGCTACAGACCATCTGGCTGGTGTTACCATCTGTGCCTCCCAGTCTCACCTAAATACTGTACATATTCAGCAGCCATTTGGACCATACAATATCCTTCTAAATGTATGAGAGACACAGGCTTCTGGGATCCTTGTACGGTCAGGAATACTCCTTGAGTACCAAGAAAATTACAAGTAATTTGGTAAATGTTTATTACATGATATAGTTAATAAATTCATTGATAGGAAAAAGTCTTTAAAAAATGTTGATATTCTGAAAAAGAATTCAGGATGATTTCTACTCAGAACAAAACTGTACAAACAGCATTAGGAAATGTACAATATTGAAATTGTTCACATGAAAGAGCATAATCTTGCAGCATGATGAGATACTGGGTGATACTACCTGCTACACAATAGGCTTTTAGAACAGTGTACTACCTATTAACAATTCCTTTCTTACTCGGTAAATATACATACAGCAGCATTTAAGCATTTAACAGATTAATATAAGTATTGATTTCTAGTCAGGAATTTATCTAGTATTCCAAAATAGGAGCCCTTCAAAAGCAAAATCAGGATTTTTTTATTTTGTTCAAGATTGAGTTTTATAAAAGTTACAAATTCTTTCCTCTTTTAAAAAAATGTATGTTAACATTAACTTCAATAATGTAATACTAAGCATTAAAGCCTCTTCTCATTATGGGTCCTGACTTCAATGAAATAGCTGCTCTGACCAAGCCATTATATTTTATATAACATTTTATATTTCACATGATCAGGGAATGTTTAATACCAATTTGGGATTTCTTAATGATATTTGCTGCAGCCTCTGAAGAAGCCTAGACAAACCCCTCCTAGGTATCTATACATAGAAACAGTGGGCTATTGTTATCCCAAGCAGGAACAACTCAGCTTTGAGATCACCCAAGGGATTGCAATGAACATGCATCTGGGGCTTCATTTCATGACCAACAGATGTTCATCGTGATTGAGATAACAAGAGTTAAGTGTATGTGGTTTAAATGCAGTCATGGACCAAGCAGAATATTTCTAAAATAACAAACAAAATATCTGTTTTTTTACGTATGCTGACCTAGGAAAAGTGTAAATTCAGCACATATGTCTTCAAAAACACTTATTATTCCTGTTTAATCACCATACTTAAAAAATTGTTACAAAAAGTAAAACATTATTGCTACCAACATTTCATTAATTTGGCAGCAACACCCCAATGATCAAATTCAGAATATGGTTTTATGATATTTTCATAATTTTACCAGCATAATCTTTTCTAGTGTTTGGATCTACTGAAAGCAAAGTAAGCTCTTGTGAAAAGGAATACAACGAAACATAAAGACAAGCACAGCAACACTACAACAGCCGACAACCAAGCCTCCGCGCCACCCTGAGCCAGTCAACATGTCTGAATTATCACAGATACTAGCTACCACACAACTATGCATAGAAGACTAACGGATCTAAAACTGCCTATGTCTATTCAAACTTATCGCAAAATACAAACTTAGAAAATTTAGTCTGCCGCACAAACATGGTTCATTTCTACAATGCATCATGCAAGCTGATGCTATGAACTCACCCTGATTATCAGTGAAATGGCAACAAACCACAACATACTACCATTGCATAATGAAAGGAAAGTTCTCAGGAAAATAGTCTTTAAGTAGTTATGATGCTGAAAATTTGGGTCCTCATCACAGGATCATAGACAAATACCACCTTGGTTGGATCCACAAAAACAGTATTATTGCCTGCAGACGAACCAGAATTTGTTTTCAAATCCAAGATCCAGACACACCGAAGGGGCATAACTCTGCAATGGTTAATTTCATCATAGGTATAACCAGAGTGGCTAATCTTTGTTTTCATGTATAACAATTATCATCTTGATCAGTATGAACAGACACGCAATATTCTTATGTAAAATACAAACAGGAAATTACTTCATAGACTAGCAACATCAATGAGGTAACTGGTATGTTTCGTCATATAAAAACGTCCAAGCACTTATCTAACACCGAAATCTGACATTTGATTGCACTTGCCTCTGGTGATGTCGGCACCACTCAATCACCTTTACGCAGTAAAAAAACATATCTACAAAAATCTCCAAGAGAAAGTTATTGAATGTGAAACATGTACATGAAGTATTTGATTGGTATTTAGGAGTGGGTTGAACAGGAAGACTTAGCACTTTAATTTCAAGGGAAAATAACACAGATGTTTTGTCCTCATTTTTCCTGTCTCCTACTATCTACAATATTTGAGCAGTTAATTTGCACAGAGAGAAAATATGGATATTTTATTTGTATAGCGATGTAGCTGCAGAAAACACTCCATAAACTCCTTCTTTTGATGTCTGATGATGTCCTGATGGTCAGTTCCTTCATGTCTAAGTATGTTGCTATGAATTGTTCTTGACTATTCCCACCACAGGGAAACTAGTGAGTGAGAGAATGAGTAGGGTGTTGTGCTGTTTTAGCATTGTTCCATTCATATCAAGCCTGGGGAAACTAAGGATAGAGAAACCAAGCATGGAGAAACCAAGCATGGAGAAACCAAGCATGGAGAAACCAAGCATAGAGAAACCAGGCATGGAGAAACCAAGCATTGAGGAACCAAGCATTGAGGAACCAAGCATGGAGAAACCAAGCATGGAGAAACCAGGCATGGAGAAACCAAGCATGGAGAAACCAGGCATGGAGAAACCAAGCATTGCGGAACCAAGCATTGAGGAACCAAGCATGGAGAAACCAAGCATTGAGGAACCAAGCATTGAGGAACCAGGCATGGAGAAACCAGGCATGGAGAAACCAAGCATTGAGGAACCAAGCATGGAGAAACCAGGCATGGATAAACGAAGCTTGGAAAAACCAAGCATGGATAAATCAAGCATGGAGAAACCAAGCACGGAGAAACTAGGCATGGATAAACTAGGCATGGAGAAACCAAGCATGGAGAAACCAGGCATGGAGAAACCAAGCATAGAGAAACCAAGCATAGAGAAACCAAGCATGGAGACACTAGGCATGGATAAACTAAGCATAGAGAAACCAAGCATGGAGAAACCAAGCATGGGAAACTAAGCATTGGCTTCATACATTGAACCCAGGCTTTTGAAAAGTAAGCTACGATTTCTCCACAACACTACTCCAAGGCCCCCCACAGGAACCCTACCAGACTGATGCTGTGGTACAACAACCAAGGAGTGATGACTGACAAGATGAGGTGATACAAGGAAGCTGATAGCTCTGCAAATTAGGTGCCCATCATCTCCACCAAGAAGATGAAGAACTAATCAACAAGGTACATAAATTACAAGAATAAATACAAGAAACAAATACCTTATACTTGAAGATTTTACAGTTCAATTAGATTAAAGATGAATAGCAATCATCATAACATAAAATTGAAAAAAATGATGGTGATGACTGATCAACAAACTCCCTTAGTTCATTGGAAAGTAATATGCAAATTATCAATATTAAATGATGCAAATGACAGTGAGAGTAATCTCCCCTTACGGCTGTTGTTTTAATGAATTAATCCATCCAAAGCCTGAACAATATAAACCAAATGCATGGATGTGCTTCACTGATTTTTGGATTACTGTCTTAATGAAATATTTTGGCATGTCTAGGACAACATTGATTTCAGATCTGTGCATGGGTCTCAAACAAAGACAAGCTACAAATAAAGGTAACAAATGCAATTATTAAGCACATACATGTCATAAAAATAAACTTCTGAAATAGACGAAGATCTGTAAATGGCAAGTCATTAACATCATTAAGACATATCTAACAAGCCCAAGTTGACTTTTACTTCAGACAACTAAAATTATGATAAAATAGTAACTTAAATCACCAGGAATCAAAACTCAAATATGATCACTATAACATCATATTTCTTAGGGACAAATTCAAAAGAAAAACAATTAAAATAGAAGTATAAGACACTATCATTGTTACACAGTGTCTAGGCAGATAATAAGCTGAATATTATCTTCAAAACCCTGATTTCAAGGAGGATGTACAAAACTGGGATAACGTGGAATATATTACACAATAATTTCAATGAGGGCAAACTATTTTGACTTAATTAATGCAAAGAAAAAATACCCTATTCCTTCCAAATAAAATTCATAGAACAAATTAAATATGCATCTGCCTAAAGTTCAACAGTCCATCACTGTGACCTTACAACTCTATCATTAGTTAATTCTGGGGGTGAGTGAATGAGTATGGTTTTACGCCGATTTGGGCAATATTACGATAGGGGACACCAGAAATGGGCTTCACACACTGTACCATGTAGGGAATCGAATCTGGATCTTCGGTGTGATGAGCAAAGGTTTAAACCAGTAGACAACCCAACCGACCCATTTAGTCCTGCAAGAAAATGTTTGTGAAACTGAATGCAAAGATCTCTGGCTCTCTGCACAGGATGATCAATAGGCTGTACCTCTACACATCCCCAGCCCATCAGGAACACTCCCTACATGGGGCAGATGCAGTCATAGTGTCATATCAATTATTTATAATAGATTTCAATTCTGGTTATGAAACAATGTCAAGCATGGTAAAGCAGGTAATTAATAATTTTGCCGTTAATAAAATCAATTAATTAAATGACACTGATTAACCATTTATGGCACATTTTTGTTCTCTATAACCATGTGTTCAGCATCTTGTACCCAGAAACTGCAACATCAGCAACTTTCTCAGATTCACATTTTTTGGTCAGTTTGTAAATACTGAAACTGACTTCCACATTTGGATGTTGAAGGTACACATATTTTAATGAACTATTACACAGGTTTCTTTGCTAATATTGGACATAAGGAAGTACCGACTGTTCAGAGACCCAGAAAATGAAGCCTGTGCTATCTACCTGTAGTATATACTATGCAACAGTGTCAGTAAGGGGTTTACTTCCATGCTGCTTTCAATAACAGTCCAGCTATATCACAGCTGGACCACCAGAATGGGCTTCAAACCCTATTCGATGACGAGCTAACGCTTCACCCACTAGGCTCCCCAGTGCTTCAGATGGTAGTAGCGAGAGACTGGTGAATGGGGGGAGGGAAGCAGCGGACGTGCTCCACCGGCATACTCTCCGTGTCACTTGTCTTCATGTATTTGTTGAGAACGGAGAAAATCTGGTTGTTGAGGATCTGGAACTTGCGGATGCGATCCACCATTCTCTTCAGTTGCTAAAAACACAAATGAGTGAGTGAGTGAGTGAGTGAGTGAGTGAGCAAATGAGTGAGTGAGTGAGTGAGTGAGTGAGTGAGTGAGTGTATATCATTGTCAGTACATCAAGTACATTGCTGTCTGGACCAGACTAACAGGTGATCAGGTTAGCCATGTGACAGCTGATACCATGTTCTCGTGTGATCACTATCATATAGCGACCATGCTTGTTGTAAGAGGCGACTAAAGGGATTGGGCGGGTGGTCAGGCTTGCTGACTTAGTTGATGGATATCATCGTATCACAAATGTATAGATCGATGCTCATGATGTCAATCACTGGATTATCTGTTTCAGACTCAATTACTTACAGACCGCCGTCATATAGCAAAAATATTGCTGAGAGCGGCGTTAAACACAAACAATGTGGTCAAGTGCTCGAGGGCCATTGCACTTATGGCAAATTATGCATATAAGGTTTTGAAGAAAAAGAATATATAAATTTTATGTAGTTCAAACAACCAACCTGGAAAAAATATACAATTTCTTAATAACACCATAACACCATTACACCATCAAACAATAACACCAAAACACATTAATACCATCACACAATAACACCAGTGCACCAAAACACACCTACATCAAACAATAACAAATTAACACCCTAACACCATCACACAATAACACATTAACACCATCACAAAATAACACGTTAACACCCTTACACCATCCCACAATAATACATTAACACCCTAGCACCATTGCACAATAACACATTAACACCTTGACACCATCACACAATAACACAATAACACCATCTCACAATAACACATTAACACCCTAACACCATCACACAGTAACACATTAACACCCTAACACCATCACACAATAACACATTAACACCATCACACATTAACACCCTAACACCATCACACAGTAACACATTAACACCCTAACACCAGTGCACAATAGCACATTAACACCCTAACACCATCACACATTAACACCCTAACACCAGTGCACAACAGCACATTAACACCCTAACACCATCCCACAATAATACATTAACACCCTAGCACCATTGCACAATAACACATTAACACCTTGACACCATCACACAATAACACCCTAACACCATCGCACAATAACACATTAACACCTTGACACCATCACACAGTAACACATTAACACCCTTACACCATCACACAATAACACCCTAATACCATCGCACAATAACACATTAACACCCTAACACCATCACACAGTAACACATTAACACCCTTACACCATCACACAATAACACCCTAGCACCATTGCACAATAACACATTAACACCTTGACACCATCACACAATAACACCCTAACACCATCGCACAATAACACATTAACACCCTAACACCATCACACAGTAACACATTAACACCCTTACACCATCACACATCAACACCCTAACACCATCACACAATAACACCCTAACACCATCGCACAAAAACACATTAACAGCCTCACACCATCGCAAAATAGCACATTAACACCCTTACACCATCACACATCAACACCCTAACACCATCACACAATAACACCCTAACACCTTCGCACAAAAACATATTACCACCATCACATATTATCACCATTACACAATAACACCAGTACACAACAACACCAGTACACCCTAACACCATCACACAATAACACATTAACACCCAAAACCATCACACAATAACACCCTAACACCATCACACAATAACACCATCACACAACAACACCCTAACACCATCACACAATAACACCCTAACACCATCGCACAAAAACATATTACCACCATCACATATTATCACCATTACACAATAACACCAGTACTCAACAACACAAGTACACCCTAACACCATCACACAATAACACCATCACACAATAACACCATCACACAACAACACCCTAGCACCATCACACAATAACACCCTAACACCATCGCACAAAACATATTACCACCATCACATATTATCACCATTACACAATAACACCAGTACACAACAACACCAGTACACCCTAACACCATCACACAATAACACCCTAACACCATCGCACAAAACATATTACCACCATCACATATTACCACCATCACAAATTATCACCAGTACACAACAACACCAGTACACAACAACACCAGTACACAACAACACCAGTACACCATTACACCATCACACAATAACACATTAACACCCTAACACCATCACACAACAACACCCTAACACCATCACACAACAACACCCTAACACCATCATACAACAACACCCTAACACCATCACACAACAACACCCTAACACCATCACACAATAACACCATCACACAACAACACCCTAACACCATCACACAACAACACCCTAACACCATCACACAATAACACCATCACACAACAACACCCTAACACCATCACACAACAACACCCTAACACCATCACACAACAACACCCTAACACCATCACACAATAACACCATCACACAACAACACCCTAACAACATCACACAATAACACCATCACACAACAACACCCTAACACCATCACACAATAACACCATCACACAACAACACCCTAACACCATCACACAATAACACCATCTACACCATCACACAATAACACCATCACACAACAACACCATCACACAACAACACCATCACACCCTAACACCATCACACAACAACACAACACCAAGATGAGTTGTACTTACAATGCCCTTGACATTTTCATCCTTCATGTCCACTCGGTTGACTCGCAGTATGTGATAGCAGAAGTCCAGGCACTCGAACCTCCGCTGTTGCCCTAGCAACATGATCAGAGTACATCCCGCCCAGTTCAGTCCCTCACCGAACAGCTCTCTGGAACACAGGACACATCAACCATACTGCTGCCGTCCACATCAGGAATGCACTAACCTACTCTCTGTTCAGGGCTACAGTGATTTATATTGGTTAATTTTATTGGACAGTGACTGACCGTATTCCAAAATGTCCCAGTACCATTTTTCAAATTTTGTAAAGACAGAGAAGAATGTCCTATTAATGCTGATAAAATCATGAAAATGTCCTAATGCTGATAAAATCATGAAAATGTCCTATTAATGCTGATAAAATCATGAAAATGTCCTAATGCTAATTGTCTGCAGCAAAATCACTGGTGACATAGCCATTAACTGGCCTCCATCTCCACCCTGTCAGTGAGGAGATAATTGTAAGTCTGTGACACCACATGACTCATTGTATTTGATTCTGGCAGGATCTGGTCACTTTGACAGCAAAGTGTTTCCACAAAGAAATCAACTCAAGAGTGGGTATTAAATTGATTGGTTGAAAGTAATATTTAAATGCAATCAAAAGTATAGAAATCTGGAATAATTATGGTAAAAAAAGTCTTTCTTAATATCAATCTTTCATCAGTTACCAAACGGCAAAATAGAATAATAGTCTGGCTTAAATCAACATGATTTCATTAAATACTTTATCAGATCGTAATTGGTTAGATAATTGTTCTTGGCATTTTCTTACAATGGTGTCAAGTTGCCATGGAAACTGATCCAACCGACTAATTTTTTTAAACTACTGCATTTTATATTAGATCATTTATTTTCACTGTTATTTCAGTACATTGAAATTTGTAACTAAGAAACACTACAATTCTAAATTCTCCAGCAACAATCACATAATATATATATATATCTGAAAACTGAAAACATCAAAACTTTCAACACTTACTCCACAGTGAATTTATTCTCTCCGACGGGCATACAGAACACAAACTGTACCGCTGACCATAGGCGGTGGAACTCGGTACACTTGTCCACGTTCATGACACCGTTGACGGGCGGCATGCCGTGCCACAGCGGCTCATTGAGGAATGACTTGATGCGGTTGAGGACGACCTCAAACATGGACAGTCCACAGCACAGGCGTTCTCGAGTCAGCAGGTCACCCTCCGCAGCAATGTCGGCTTGCTGCAACAACATTCTTCCAATACAGGTGGAGGCCAGTAGGAGGTTTCAGAGTCCTCTACTCCAGTTAAACTGAATAACTGTTTGTCTTAATCAACACCTCTCTTTTTTCTAAACTTCCTTTCATAATAATTAGTCCATCTCTAGGTATCACATTTTTTATTATTTGGTTTACACAAATTTTGGCTTAAACTTAATGTAGATCCTAATGAATGAAAAAGATGGCCAAATATCAAAAGATAATTGATAGTCTTTTTTAAAAATAAAGATTTTTAGTTGTAATATTTGCCATTTCTTTTCACCTAATTCAATGTTAATTGTAAAACAGAATCACACCCCCAAAAATGTCAAAATATTTTCAAAATTTCATATTTTTGGGTCAGTCTCATGAACCAACTAAAACAACATTAGGCCCTACAAATTCTAACTGCATATAACCATCAGAGATGCAAACAAGAAGCACAAGCAGTTTGACTGCATAATCTGATCATAAGGAAGATCTTAAAACAAACCTAAACCATTATCCTTTTTGACACAAAAATATGACACTGAACAAACAATCATTTTGTTGTGATCTGAGCAGTCTGACAGCTGTGTGTCTAAGATAGGAGCATCTCCAAAATGCACTCACACAGAGGATTGTCTTTAAGATAATTAAGTTTCCATGGAGACAGATCTGTATATATTTCACCATTATTTCCGCATGATTATTACAGTGTGATGGATGTACCCTGCGGAGTGTATAAGGTCAGAAAGATGGTCGTGATGTAGTGAAGACAGTTGAAGTGACGTAACATCTCACCGTCTGGTTGCCGAGTTTCTTGATGACGGACACAATCTGAAGCGCTGCATACTTCTTCTCCAGCTGTTTCATCACTTGTTTCAGCTCCTCATCACGATTCTTCCGATTATCTGCATCTGTAATCGAGTGTGAGTGAGTTAGATATTAAACCGCTTTTAGCAATATTCCAGCAATATCACGGCCGGGGACACCAGCAATGGGCTTCACACATTGTACCCATGTCGGGAATTGAACCCGGTTCTTTGGCGTGACAAGCCAACACTTTAACCACTAGGCTACCCAACTGTCCCCATCTGTAATTGAAATAGTAGTTACATGACATCATGACCGAGAACTAGTAAAAATGCCCTGCATAGTAATCCCCAATGAGTAGGGAAGTGAGTGTTTGTTTGTTCGGTGTTTAACGCCACACTCAGCGATATTTTAGCTATAGGATGGTGATCTGTAAATAAGTCCGGACCAGACAATCCAGTGATAGATATCATGAGCATCATATCAGTGATGCAGACTAATGTGCATCATATCGGTGATGCAGACAAATGTGCATCATATCCTTGATGCAGACTTATGAGACATATAAGTGATGCAGACTAATGTGCATCATATCCGTGACGCAGACTAATGTGACATATAGGTGATGCAGACAAATGTGATAAATAAGTGATGCAGACTAATGTGCAACATATCGGTGATGCAGACTAATGTGCATCATATCCGTGACGCAGACTAAAGTGCATCATGTCCGTGATGCAGACTAATGTGCATCATATCCTTGATGCAGACTAATGTGACATATAAGTGATGCAGACTAATGAGCAACAAATCAGTGATGCAGACAAATGTGCATTATATCCGTGATGCAGACTAAAGTGCATCATATCCGTGATGCAGACTAATGTGACATATAAGTGATGCAGACTAATGTGCAACATATCAGTGATGCAGACAAATGTGACATATAAGTGATGCAGACTAATGTGCAACAAATCAGTGATGCAAAGCTATGTAACATGCCATAACTTATCCTTACAACAGACCATGCATCTTAAGTGATTGACCTCATGAGCATTGATCCAGGCAATTGGGATCCGATGACATGCATCAACCAACTAAGCAAGATCCCATTAGTCGCCTCTTACAAAAAGCATAGTCACCTTTTACGGCAAACATGGGATGCTGAAGACCTGAATAATTACACATGTTTACCTTTGACGTGGATGAATGGCTTTGGGATGATGTTCTGGAAGGGAGCCGCATGCTTCAAGTCACACACTTCCTCCTGGGTCTGTGACAAGAACACAAGGTCAGAGTGGCGGAGTTGGGAAAAGATGACCGATACTGCGATAGTGTATTCACTTCTTCACAGACAATGCTTCAGAAATATCACTGATATTATCCCTCTTTGTTTTTTTAAATCCTGGACGACCTTTTGTCAAGGTGGATTCAGTTTTGTGGCAATATGTCAAATATACCATAGGACAGATAGGGATTCCAATTACAATTAAACATAAATTATCCTTTACCTGGTATCACTGCCAAATTTTACACATCTATGGATGTAATATTTTCCTTTCTGGAAATATACTGAAATCTAGATATTTCACAAAGCTATCATTGCATCACAATCATAATATGATTGAGTCTCCAAGAGGCACACTAGTTGTTAGCGGCATGACTTTCTTTCCGGTTTGCTTGTTTGTTGTTTATCGCCGCACTCAGTAATGTTCCAGCTATATGACGGCGGTCTGTAAAATAATCGAGTCTGTACCAGACAATCCACGCAATTGGGATCGATGTCATGCATCAACCAAGTCAGCGAGCCTGACCACCCGATCCCGTTAGTTGCCTCGTACAACAAGCATAGTTGCCTTTTACAGTAAGCATTGGACGATGAAGACCTGTTCTACCCCGGATCTTCACGGGTCCGTTCTTTCCTGATGAAACCTTTCCCTACTGCTACAACTCACCAGAGCCTGTTCCACCAGCAGAGTGAACAGAATGGCATTGCCCATCTCCCTGAAGCTCTGGAACACCTCCGTCCTCAAGTCAGGATACTGAATCAGGTCTGTCAGCTGGGCCTGGTAGTACCCCATCACACCTGCAGGATTCAAAGAGTCTCACTAGACTCATATATCAGAGAGCTTCCAACATGATGACGTCTTACATTGAACAACACTATTTTTGAGAGGAAAGTGTCTAGTTTCCCATAGATGTAGCTTGCCAACGCAGATGAATGCAATGGCTGAATGATTGCATTAAAAAAGCATTCAATTAGCATTGGGAGAAAAGGTACAGATGACAGCCATGAAAATTATGAGGATATCTGGGAAATAGAGAATCTCACCCGCGTGTCTTTTGATATCAAACAATCAACACGAGCTGATAAAAGTGGGAAAAGTCCGAGGCTTGCCGAGGAGTTTTTCCACTTTATCGAGTGTTGATATATTTTGATATCAAAAGACACGAGGGTGAGATTTTATTTATCATCCAACATCATTCTTCCAACTTTTTCAGTTTGTAGACAGTAATAAAAAGTGTCTTAAGTGTAAAAAGTACTGTTAACAGCTTCAGTTGCATTCAGCCATTAGTGATGTCATTTGATTGTGACATCATGGTAACCAATGACGTCACAAAGGTCTGCAAAGCATTGTGATACAATCTCGCCCAAGCGATATCTCCTTTCGGAGCCAGTTTTTGATGATAAATACCAAGCAACCCTGTTCATTAAATTGACTTGTCAGACATTGCCGAGGATGGACTGTATTTATCATTATTTAAGTACGGTTAAATGTTTTTATAGCTTGTGCATTTTATTAACATCCTTAAAACGGCAATAAAAAATAAAAAATCTCTTATATGAAATAAACTTGTTTATCCTACAATAAAACGCTGCAGGGAGAATAAACCATGAGGGGCCCAATTGTTTATCATACAATAAAACACTGTTGGGAGAATAAACTATGAGTTTATTCTCCCTGCAGTGTTATTTTGTACGATAAACAACTCCCTGCCCTTCTTCTATGCTTACTCTTTCTATGCGAGCAGCTGGGTGTACTACAGTGTAGCTAAATTGATTCTGTGTATTCGGGAATGAAGGAAATTTGAGAAATCAGCTAAGGCTACAGTGGACAACATTTGCCCACACTGATCATTTCCCTTTCCACAATTTTTGGAAAAATGTGCTCGATTTAGGTCCTCATGCACGAAGAGGATAAGACGTACAGCACTGCGAGTGGTGCAGACGTATATACCATGCAACATGTGCCTTGCACGTATTGGTTATTTAAAAAAAGGGTTGCGTTTGAATTGAGAGATAGCATTGCTGGCACATTAGGTAGGTTGACTGAACAGGGCAATGACCATTTGTTTGTTGAAAGTAATAACACACATCGGTGTGAATGATGTCAGGTCAGGATGGACAGTCACAGAAGGGACATCTCGAATACTTTGTATCTACCATATTTGGAGGCACAAAGGAAAACAAGGACAACTTGAGATAGTCTGAAGTTTATTTTCAAATGGTATCACATTGATGGAGAATGTGTTTCAATTCCTCATGCCAGAACTCCAGGTGGACGACCCTGTCGAACATCAGGAATTTGACGCTACAATATAATATCAGAGCATCATTTGGAATTTCCAAACGCATCGGAAAGTCAAGTTTTCGACTATTGCATATGTAGGGATGAATAACATAATTCTGTGAGATGTTCGAGGGCGGTCTTCCTTCAAAATGTGTCTACTATGAAGGTACATCATTGGACTTATCATCAGACCACTTTATTCGGAATGGGGTTTTCAAAATAGAAGTGGGTCTACTTATCTTGGAAATTAAAAATGACTCGCGAGCGAGAGCGAAAGCGATAATGACCATGACCATTCTTTGGATTCGGGATTAAATTCTGACAACTTAGACTGGTTGATTTCGAAATAAAGATGTACATCATTAGGAATTTGGTGACTAGTTGCTTGTTGTGATGTAAATATATTGTGTTTTTTGCCTGCAAGAAAAAGTTCAATGTCCATAAAATATATGATTTTTAAGAAATGAATTCAAACTTCTAGCTCACTGTATCTGCATCTATTGCCTCATTGAATCCGAAATTGTTTGTCAATGAATGAATGAATTATTTAATATTGTAACCATGATCATATTATAATTCTAAGATATGTCTTGTGGTAGTACCTATCTGAGACATTGTTTGTAATTATTTGGCATATTTTTACTGGTCCTCAGATACATATATACCAATACTATTATATATTGATAATGTATTATGGTGGTATGAATATACAGATATGTTAACTAATTTGAAACCCATTTTTCTTGCTCTAAAACCGAAAGGGCATGTATAACAAGGGTATTTGATATTTTGATATATACATTAGGAAAATAAACATTATATGAAATTTTGTAACTCAGAATAACAGATGGGATTTCGTTATTGGAAATGTAAATCAAAGGATAACAGTACACTGGTGAAGCAAGAACCTGTGAATAATGCTTAAGAATAATTGTATTCTAATCTGTTACGCGTGTAGTGACAATACACAAGTTATCGCAAATTCTACCATGAATTGGAAATTACTCGATTCTGATTGGTTAATCAGAGTCTATTAAATCACAATAAACCCCCTCTGCTGGTTTGACGGTCGCATCACCGCGGAAGCAAATATTTATAGAATAATACTTTTCCAGTCATTGTCGGTAAAACATAGTTGAATAATTTTATCTACAATGAAAGGTTACGAAATGCAAAGTTTTAGTTACTACAATATTCAAAGGATGTGTGGCAATACATTTCGTACAGAAAACACGATGGAAATCTACAAGGATAAAGTGTTTTAAGTTTTGGGAGCAACAGAGAGCTTGAAATTTGGCGCTTTTCTATGGATGACTGTCACGTCATATCCGTTGCGTCACAATGAGCAATATGGCGTCATAATAGTGACGTTCGGTGTTGAACGAAAGTCTTGCAAAGCTTGCTTAGTTTTCTTCTGGGATGCCCACCTGAATGTCTGTCATATGTTCGAATGAAGTATCACGGTGTAAACAAACTGCTTCAGTATATACAACGCAATATGCCGTTTCACGCAATATATTTGCTGACACCAAAGAGTTTGCGTTATTTTGTCATGGTAGAATGGGGATAAACATACTGTGTTTTCAATGTAGAGCTAGGTTACCTGTAGATTTAACCGCGCTAAACTTAACATTTTGAACCTAAATTCAATTTACCGCGGTTACATCTACAGTTAACCCATATCTACATTGAAACCACAGCGTGTTTATCTCCTAATCATCACCAGGTGTACCACAGCTCTACCTCTACAGTCTGTCCATTGTACATGTGCCCCGTGTACCACAGCTCTACCTCTACAGCTTTGTCCATTGTACATGTGCCCCGTGTGCCACAGCTCTACCTCTACAGTTCTGTCAATTGTACATGTGCCCCGTGTGCCACAGCTCTTCCTCTACAGTTCTGTCCATTGTACATGTGCCCCGTCTGCCACAGCTCTACCTCTACAGCTCTGTCCATTGTACATGTGCCCCGTGTGCCACAGCTCTACCTCTACAGCTTTGTCCATTGTACATGTGCCCCGTGTACCACAGCTCTACCTCTACAGCTTTGTCCATTGTACATGTGCCCCGTGTGCCACAGCTCTACCTCTACAGCTTTGTCCATTGTACATGTGCCCCGTGTGCGACAGCTCTACCTCTACAGTTCTGTCCATTGTACATGTGCCCCTTGTGCCACAGCTCTACCTCTACAGCTTTGTCCATTGTACATGTGCCCCGTGTGCCACAGCTCTACCTCTACAGCTTTGTCCATTGTACGTGTGCCCCGTGTGCCACAGCTCTACCTCTACAGCTTTGTCCATTGTACATGTGCCCCGTGTGCCACAGCTCTACTTCTACAGCTTTGTCCATTGTACATGTGCCCCGTGTGCCACAGCTCTACCTCTACAGTTCTGTCCATTGTACATGTGCCCCGTGTGCCACAGCTCTACCTCTACAGTTCTGTCCATTGTACATGTGCCCCGTGTACCACAGCTCTACCTCTACAGCTTTGTCCATTGTACATGTGCCCCGTGTGCTACAGCTCTACCACTACAGTCCTGTCCATTGTACATGTGCCCCGTGTGCCACAGCTCTACCTCTACAGCTTTGTCCATTGTACATGTGCCCCGTGTGCCACAGCTCTACCTCTACAGTTCTGTCCATTGTACATGTGCCCCGTGTGCCACAGCTCTTCCTCTACAGTTCTGTCCATTGTACATGTGCCCCGTGTGCCACAGCTCTACCTCTACAGTTCTGTCCATTGTACATGTGCCCCGTGTGCCACAGCTCTACCTCTACAGTTCTGTCCATTGTACATGTGCCCCGTGTACCGCAGCTCTACCTCTACAGCTCTGTCCATTGTACATGTGCCCCGTGTGCTACAGCTCTACCTCTACAGCTTTGTCCATTGTACATGTGCCCCGTGTGCTACAGCTCTACCTCTACAGCTTTGTCCATTGTACATGTGCCCCGTGTGCTACAGCTCTACCACTACAGTTCTGTCCATTGTACATGTACCCCGTGTGCCACAGCTCTACCTCTACAGCTTTGTCCATTGTACATGTGCCCCGTGTGCCACAGCTCTACCTCTGCAGTTCTGTCCATTGTACATGTGCCCCGTGTACCACAGCTCTACCTCTACAGCTTTGTCCATTGTACATGTGCCCCGTGTGCTACAGCTCTACCACTACAGTTCTGTCCATTGTACATGCGCCCCGTGTGCAACAGCTCTACCTCTACAGCTTTGTCCATTGTACATGTGCCCCGTGTGCCACAGGTCTACCTCTACAGTTCTGTCCATTGTACATGTGCCCGGTGTGCCACAGCTCTTCCTCTACAGTTCTGTCCATTGTACATGTGCCCCGTGTGCCACAGCTCTACCTCTACAGCTTTGTCCATTGTACATGTGCCCCGTGTGCCACAGCTCTACCTCTACAGTTCTGTCCATTGTACATGTGCCCCGTGTGCCACAGCTCTACCTCTACAGTTCTGTCCATTGTACATGTGCCCCGTGTGCCACAGCTCTACCTCTACAGTTCTGTCCATTGTACATGTGCCCCGTGTGCTACAGCTCTACCACTACAGTTCTGTCCATTGTACATGTACCCCGTGTGCCACAGCTCTACCTCTACAGCTTTGTCCATTGTACATGTGCCCCGTGTGCCACAGCTCTACCTCTGCAGTTCTCTCCATTGTACATGTGCCCCGTGTACTACAGCTCTACCTCTACAGCTCTGTCAATTGTACATGTGCCCCGTGTGCCACAGCTCTACCTCTACAGCTTTCTCAATTGTACATGTGCCCCGTGTACCACAGCTCTACTTCTACAGCTTTGTCCATTGTACGTGTGCCCCGTGTGCCACAGCTCTACCTCTACAGCTTTGTCCATTGTACATGTGCCCCGTGTACCACAGCTCTACCTCTACAGCTTTGTCCATTGTACATGTACCCGTGGGCTACAGCTCTACCTCTACAGCTTTGTCCATTGTACATGTGCCCCGTGTGCTACAGCTCTACCACTACAGTTCTGTCCATTGTACATGCGCCCCGTGTGCCACAGCTCTACCTCTACAGCTTTGTCCATTGTACATGTGCCCCGTGTGCCACAGCTCTACCTCTGCAGTTCTGTCCATTGTACATGTGCCCCGTATACCACAGCTCTACCTCTACAGCTCTGTCCATTGTACATGTGCCCCGTGTGCTACAGCTCTACCTCTGCAGTTCTGTCCATTTTACATGTGCCCCGTATACCACAGCTCTACCTCTACAGCTTTGTCCATTGTACATGTGCCCCGTGTGCCACAGCTCTACCTCTACAGCTCTGTCCATTGTACATGTGCCCCGTGTGCCACAGCTCTACCTCTACAGCTTTGTCCATTGTACATGTGCCCCGTGTACCACAGCTCTACTTCTACAGCTTTGTCCATTGTACATGTGCCCCGTGTGCCACAGCTCTACCTCTACAGTTCTGATCAAATTGTACATGTGCCCCATGTGCCACAGCTCTACCTCTACAGTTCTGTCCATTGTACATGTGCCCCGTGTACCACAGCTCTACCTCTACAGCTTTGTCCATTGTACATGTGCCCCGTGTGCTACAGCTCTACCACTACAGTTCTGTCCATTGTACATGTGCCCCGTATACCACAGCTCTACCTCTACAGCTTTGTCCATTGTACATGTGCCCCGTGTGCCACAGCTCTACCTCTACAGCTCTGTCCATTGTACATGTGCCCCGTGTGCCACAGCTCTACCTCTACAGCTTTGTCCATTGTACATGTGCCCCGTGTACCACAGCTCTACTTCTACAGCTTTGTCCATTGTACATGTGCCCCGTGTGCCACAGCTCTACCTCTACAGTTCTGTCCATTGTACATGTGCCCCATGTGCCACAGCTCTACCTCTAAAGTTCTGTCCATTGTACATGTGCCCCGTGTACCACAGCTCTACCTCTACAGCTTTGTCCATTGTACATGTGCCCCGTGTGCTACAGCTCTACCACTACAGTTCTGTCCATTGTACATGCGCCCCGTGTGCCACAGCTCTACCTCTACAGCTTTGTCCATTGTACATGTGCCCCGTGTGCCACAGGTCTACCTCTACAGTTGTGTCCATTGTACATGTGCCCCGTGTGCCACAGCTCTTCCTCTACAGTTCTGTCCATTGTACATGTGCCCCGTGTGCCACAGCTCTACCTCTACAGCTTTGTCCATTGTACATGTGCCCCGTGTGCCACAGCTCTACCTCTACAGCTTTGTCCATTGTACATGTGCCCCGTGTGCCACAGCTCTACCTCTACAGTTCTGTCCATTGTACATGTGCCCCGTGTGCCACAGCTCTACCTCTACAGTTCTGTCCATTGTACATGTGCCCCGTGTACCGCAGCTCTACCTCTACAGCTCTGTCCATTGTACATGTGCCCCGTGTGCTACAGCTCTACCTCTACAGCTTTGTCCATTGTACATGTGCCCCGTGTGCTACAGCTCTACCTCTACAGCTTTGTCCATTGTACATGTGCCCCGTGTGCTACAGCTCTACCACTACAGTTCTGTCCATTGTACATGTACCCCGTGTGCCACAGCTCTACCTCTACAGCTTTGTCCATTGTACATGTGCCCCGTGTGCCACAGCTCTACCTCTGCAGTTCTGTCCATTGTACATGTGCCCCGTGTACCACAGCTCTACCTCTACAGCTTTGTCCATTGTACATGTGCCCCGTGTGCTACAGCTCTACCACTACAGTTCTGTCCATTGTACATGCGCCCCGTGTGCCACAGCTCTACCTCTACAGCTTTGTCCATTGTACATGTGCCCCGTGTGCCACAGGTCTACCTCTACAGTTCTGTCCATTGTACATGTGCCCGGTGTGCCACAGCTCTTCCTCTACAGTTCTGTCCATTGTACATGTGCCCCGTGTGCCACAGCTCTACCTCTACAGCTTTGTCCATTGTACATGTGCCCCGTGTGCCACAGCTCTACCTCTACAGTTCTGTCCATTGTACATGTGCCCCGTGTGCCACAGCTCTACCTCTACAGTTCTGTCCATTGTACATGTGCCCCGTGTGCCACAGCTCTACCTCTACAGTTCTGTCCATTGTACATGTGCCCCGTGTGCTACAGCTCTACCACTACAGTTCTGTCCATTGTACATGTACCCCGTGTGCCACAGCTCCACCTCTACAGCTTTGTCCATTGTACATGTGCCCCGTGTGCCACAGCTCTACCTCTGCAGTTCTCTCCATTGTACATGTGCCCCGTGTACTACAGCTCTACCTCTACAGCTCTGTCAATTGTACATGTGCCCCGTGTGCCACAGCTCTACCTCTACAGCTTTCTCAATTGTACATGTGCCCCGTGTACCACAGCTCTACTTCTACAGCTTTGTCCATTGTACGTGTGCCCCGTGTGCCACAGCTCTACCTCTACAGTTCTGTCCATTGTACATGTGCCCCGTGTGCCACAGCTCTACCTCTACAGTTCTGTCCATTGTACATGTGCCCGTGTACCACAGCTCTACCTCTACAGCTTTGTCCATTGTACATGTGCCCCGTGTGCTACAGCTCTACCACTACAGTTCTGTCCATTGTACATGTGCCCCGTGTGCCACAGCTCTACCTCTACAGTTCTGTCCATTGTACATGTGCCCCGTGTACCACAGCTCTACCTCTACAGCTTTGTCCATTGTACATGTGCCCCGTGTACCACAGCTCTACCTCTACAGCTTTGTCCATTGTACATGTGCCCCGTGTGCCACAGCTCTACCTCTACAGTTCTGTCCATTGTACATGTGCCCCGTGTACCACAGCTCTACCTCTACAGCTTTGTCCATTGTACATGTGCCCCGTGTGCCACAGCTCTACCTCTACAGCTTTGTCCATTGTACATGCGCCCCGTGTGCCACAGCTCTACTTCTACAGCTTTGTCCATTGTACATGTGCCCCGTGTGCCACAGCTCTACCTCTACAGCTCTGTCAATTGTACATGTGCCCCGTGTGCCACAGCTCTACCTCTACAGCTTTGTCAATTGTACATGTGCCCCGTGTACCACAGCTCTACTTCTACAGCTTTGTCCATTGTACGTGTGCCCCGTGTGCCACAGCTCTACCTCTACAGTTCTGTCCATTGTACATGTGTCCCGTGTACCACAGCTCTACCTCTACAGCTTTGTCCATTGTACATGTGCCCCGTGTGCCACAGCTCTACCTCTACAGCTTTGTCCATTGTACATGCGCCCCGTGTGCCACAGCTCTACCTCTACAGCTTTGTCCATTGTACATGTGCCCCGTGTGTCACAGCTCTACCTCTACAGTTCTGTCCATTGTACATGTGCCCCGTGTGCCACAGCTCTTCCTCTACAGTTCTGTCCATTGTACATGTGCCCCGTGTGCTACAGATCTACCTCTACAGTTCTGTCCATTGTACATGTGCCCCGTCTGCCACAGCTCTACTTCTACAGCTTTGTCCATTGTACATGTGCCCCGTGTGCTACAGCTCTACCACTACAGTTCTGTCCATTGTACATGTGCCCCGTGTGCTACAGCTCTACCTCTACAGTTCTGTCCATTGTACATGTGCCCGTGTACCACAGCTCTACCTCTACAGCTTTGTCCATTGTACATGTGCCCCGTGTACCACAGCTCTACCTCTACAGCTTTGTCCATTGTACATGTGCCCCGTGTGCCACAGCTCTACCTCTACAGTTCTGTCCATTGTACATGTGCCCCGTGTACCACAGCTCTACCTCTACAGCTTTGTCCATTGTACATGTGCCCCGTGTGCCACAGCTCTACCTCTACAGCTTTGTCCATTGTACATGCGCCCCGTGTGCCACAGCTCTACCTCTACAGCTTTGTCCATTGTACATGTGCCCCGTGTGTCACAGCTCTACCTCTACAGTTCTGTCCATTGTACATGTGCCCCGTGTGCCACAGCTCTTCCTCTACAGTTCTGTCCATTGTACATGTGCCCCGTGTGCTACAGATCTACCTCTACAGTTCTGTCCATTGTACATGTGCCCCGTCTGCCACAGCTCTACTTCTACAGCTCTGTCCATTGTACATGTGCCCCGTGTGCCACAGCTCTACCTCTACAGTTCTGTCCATTGTACATGTGCCCCGTGTGCCATAGCTCTACCTCTACAGTTCTGTCCATTGTACATGTGCCCCGTGTACCACAGCTCTACCTCTACAGCTCTGTCCATTGTACATGCGCCCCGTGTGCTACAGCTCTACCTCTACAGCTTTGTTCATTGTACATGTGCCCCGTGTGCCACAGCTCTACCTCTACAGCTTTGTCCATTGTACATGTGCCCCGTGTGCTACAGCTCTACCTCTACAGCTTTGTTCATTGTACATGTGCCCCGTGTGCTACAGCTCTACCACTACAGTTCTGTCCATTGTACATGTACCCCGTGTGCCACAGCTCTACCTCTACAGCTTTGTCCATTGTACATGTGCCCCGTGTGCTACAGCTCTACCACTACAGTTCTGTCCATTGTACATGCGCCCCGTGTGCCACAGCTCTACCTCTACAGCTTTGTCCATTGTACATGTGCCCCGTGTGCCACAGCTCTACCTCTACAGTTCTGTCCATTGTACATGTGCCCCGTGTACCACAGCTCTACCTCTACACCTTTGTCTATTGTACATGTGCCCCGTGTACCACAGCTCTACCTCTACAGCTCTGTCCATTGTACATGTGCCCCGTGTGCCACAGCTCTACCTCTACAGATTTGTCCATCGTACATGTGCCCCGTGTGCCACGGCTCTACCTCTACAGCTTTGCCCATTGTACATGTGCCCCGTGTGCCACAGCTCTACCTCTACAGCTTTGTCCATTGTACATGTGCCCCGTGTGCCACAGCTCTACCAGTACTTAGGTCTTAACTCAAACGTTGAAGCTAAATAATTTATAACTTGTTTAAATCAGTTGCTATCTGCTTTCGATTGTACATATCCTACCACATGTGTTTTCCTTTATACGGCGGTGGTAAAGGGGCGACAGGGAGAACTGAGTAATTTATCAGACACTGTTTTCGAAAAAATACTTAAAAAATTGCATGAAATAATATATTTCGCATAACATATATTTTATATTTTCACGTGACAATATTAGACTCTCCCCACTTCACTCGATGAGATAAAAGTGGTATTTGAGAAAACACATTAAATATCCTCTTTTTATGCTTAATTCGGCTGATTTACACTCCACGTGCTATTTACTGTCCTGTTTAAGTTAGACGTATTTCACCCCCTTTACTATTATATTATTGAATGCTGCCACTCCACTTTACTGTTAAATCAACAATATTAATATTTTGCGGACCGTATCTTGCGTCGCTTGAAGTCACATTTGACAGACGCTTCTGGAAGTGTCTGGCCGCGTATCGAACATTCCATGTGCACGACAAATAACACAAACAATAGAGGAATCTAAACACAAAGGTACAAAGGGCCCGCGGACCGAAGATTCTAGATACACCCACGGAGGAGCATCTTGTCTCAGTTTTAATCTGACAAATAACCACCACAGACATCAGAATGAATTCAGAACACTTGTCCACTTTGAGCCAAAAGGAATACTGGAGATCCTTTTCCCTCATACAGATGTAGACTCGACAGGCGCCTAATCAACTTCGAACATGTACATGCAGCCAAATTGCTGGTGACAACAACGTAAAGGACGATTTATAAGTGTCGTAAAAGGTCACAAAATCATTGTGATTGCATTTTCCTGGAATGAGAGCAAACGCCATAAATTATGAACGTTCAAATATGAGTGAAATAAAAGCACTAGTTGATATGTATATACAAGGTTACAGAAGTAATAAGCCAGGTTTTTATGTTATCCACGACAAAGGTAAAATAAAATGAAGAATTGTGATTTTAGTATTATCTAAACATACGTGTCAATACAAATAATAGATAGGTAAGAACGAAAAACCTAAACAAAGGAAAATTCAAGCGCAAATAGAAGTTATATCAAAGCTCTTACGTATTAATATCAAAGACTGGTACCAAAACATTCACAGTCAGTCAGTGAGTTTGATTTTACGCCGCGTTTAGCAATATTCCAGCAACATCACGGCGGGGGACACCAGAAATGGGCTTCACACAGTGTACCCATGTCGGGAATCGAACCCGGGTCTTCGGCGTGACGAGCAAACGCTTTAACCACCAGGCAACCCGACCGCCCCTAAAACTTTCACAAAACAGCCCAAGCGAAAGAAGTATATTCTGTGTTTTAAAACAAAGTCACTATCGACTATCTACCATGAATTGGAAATTACTCGATTCTGATTGGTTAACCAGAAGCTATTAAATCACAATATACCCCCTCTGCTTGAAACAGCTGGTTCGACGGTCGCATCACCGCGGAAGCAAATATTTATAGAATAGTACTTTTTCCAGTCATTGTCGGTAAACATATTTGAATAATTTTATCTACAATGAAAGGTTACGAAATGCAAGGTTTTAGTTACTACAATATTCAAAGGATGTGTGGCAATACATTTCGTACAGAAAACACGATGGAAATCTACAAGGATAAAGTATTTTACGTTTTGGGAGCAACAGAGAGCTTGAAATTTGGCGCTTTTCTATGGATGACTGTCACGTCATATCCGTTGCGTCACAATGAGCAACATGGCGTGATACTGGTGACGTTCGGTGTAGAAGCTTGCAAAGCTTACTTAGTGTTCTTCTGGGATGCCCACCTGAATGTCTGTCATATGTTCGAGTGAAGTATCACGGTGTAAACACACAGCTTCAGTCCGTAATTCAGATCGACAACCCACTCAAAACACTGGACTCAACCCATGTCGTTTCACGCAATATATTTGCTGACTCCAAAGAGTTTGCGTTATTTAGTCATGGTGGAATGGAGATAAACATACTGTGTTTTCAATGTAGAGCTAGGTTACCTGTAGATTTAACCGCGCTAAACTTAACATTTTGAACCTAAATTCAATTTAGCGCGGTTACATCTACAGTTAACCTATATCTACATTGAAAACACAGTGTGTTTATCTCCTAATCATCACCAGGTGGTAGAAAGGGAATAATCTGCCTTTAATTGGTAGCCAACCAATGGTTCATTTTAGTGTCTTTTTGGCGCCAGCAAGTATGGAACATTCCTTCTACTGTTTGTATGCAAGATTGACCAGGTGGCTAATGGGAGCGGGTGTCTTATTCATTCTTCATACGAGAGAAATAGTATTGTACATATGCGAATACCGACCTGCTGCCCCGTGTGCCACAGCTCTACCTCTACAGCTCTGTCCATTGTACATGTGCCCCGTGTGCCACAGCTCTACCTCTACAGCTCTGTCCATTGTACATGTGCCCCGTGTGCCACAGCTCTACCTCTACAGCTTTGTCCATTGTACATGTGCCCCGTGTGCCACAGCTCTACCTCTACAGCTCTGTCCATTGTACATGTGCCCCGTGTGCCACAGCTCTACCTCTACAGCTTTGTCCATTGTACATGTGCCCCGTGTGCCACAGCTCTACCTCTACAGCTTTATCCATTGTACATGTGCCCCGTGTGCCACAGCTCTACCTCTACAGCTCTGTCCATTGTACATGTGCCCCGTGTGCCACAGCTCTAGCTCTACAGCTATGTCCATTGTACATGTGCCCCTTGTGCCACAGCTCTACCTCTACAGCTTTGTCCATTGTACATGTGCCCCGTGTGCCACAGCTCTACCACTACAGCTCTGTCCATTGTACATGTGTATATTCCGTACTTGTATACATAAAAAAAGCTTTGGAGTAATGGTGGTATTTTCATCCTACAGTTTATTTTCCCTTTGCGGTATATACCACACACTATGCTTTTGTTCTTAGGTCTTAACTCAAACGTTGAAGCTAAATAATTTATAACTTGTTTAAATCAGTTGCTATCTGCTTTCGATTGTACATATCCTACCACATGTGTTTTCAAACCATGACCTGTGAAACTATCAAACCTGGTATGCCTGGTATTAAAAAGTTTCCCAAGGGGTGAGAACTTACATTGATGTATGTAGGGTAAGGGTTAGCTGGGTTTACGAGTGGAAATCTTTCAATCATCCCTGCCGCCTATATTTGATGCACCTATACTTGTTCCATATACAATTAATATGTTATTAACGACACTTAACAGCTTAAAATCCTCACTGATACATTGTTGGAACCTGTTACTCAATTGTGACAATGTTTACGTGTATGAGTATTTACTTATATAACTTTGTTGTCCATGTTAACTGTCCATCGACAGTGACGTTATTTTGTAAATAAAAGCTTCAACAGACAGCGCAAGACCTTGATGGAATTGTTTGGGAACCCCCACCGTTACTCCCGTTGAATATGTAAACCACCCTTCTGTCCTTCATTGAAACTATGACTGCGGTATATTTACAAATGGCAAGTAACAAACTATGCCCACAAAAACAAGCTCATAGTCTTTACAAATGACGTGAAATATGGAGCTACATGTATATATGTATTCCAGATCGTATATCTGGCGTTGTCATTGACAAAGGGAGCAGGATTAGAATATGCAACAAACAGTCATCGAATATTGGGGTACCCATATTTTCAGCAAAGCAAACAAATACGCTAAAAAAACTGTTGCATGCTCTGAGGGGTTGTACTTGCATCTACAAAGTCCTGATAAATACAGGTTTAGTTTGGGAAGAGTACATTCATGAACAAACCTCTGCCTATTATTAACAACGCTGGGAGGGTCTTTAGCAGCCAGATGACATCAAGTATCTGAAAGACTTCTTTACAGATGGTCACACATTCAATTATACCTGGATGCCTGGACTGACCCAGGAGAGAACAAAGTAACAACTGAACGTTCAAATGTGAGTGTTTCAAAACACGAGTTGATGTGTAGATACAAGGTTACAGAAGTAAATATGCCAGGTTTTTATGCTTAATACGGCTGATTCACACTCCACGTGCTATTTATTGTCCTGTTTAAGTTGGACGTATTTCATCCCCTTTACTATTATATTATTGAATGCAGCCACTCTACTTTACTGTTAAATCAACAATATCAATATCTTGCAGACCGTATCTTGCGTCGCTTGATGTCACATTTTACAGACGCTTCTGGAAGTGTCTGGCCGCGTATCGAACTTTCCATGTGCTCGACAAATCACACAAACATGAGCGGAGTAAGGAATCTAAACACGAAGGTACAAAGGGGCCGCGGACCGAAGTTTCTAGATACACCCAAGGAGTAGCATCTTGTCTCAGTTTTAATCTGACAAATAACCATCACAGACATCAGAATGAATTCAGAACACATGTCCACTTTGAGTCAAAAGGAATACTGGAGATCCTTGTCCCTCATACAGATGTAGACTCGACAGGCGCTTTATCAGTTTCCAACATGTGCATGCAGCCAAATTGCTCGTGACAACAACGTACAGGACGATTTACAAGTGTCGTAAAAGGTCACAAAATCATTGTGATTGCATTTTCCTGGAATGAGAGCGAACGCCACAAACTATAAATGTTCAAATATGAGTTTAATAAAAACACCAGTTGATGTGTATATACAAGGTTACAGAAGTAATAAGCCAGGTTTGTATGTTATCCACGACGAAAGTAAAATAAAATGAAGAATTGTGATCTTAGTATTATCTAAACATACGAGTCAATACAAATAATAGATAGGTAAGAACGAAAAACCTAAACAAAGAAAAATTCAAGCGCAAATAGAAGTTATATGAAAGCTCTTACGGATTAGTATCAAAGACTGGTACGAAAACATTCACAGTCAGTCAGTGAGTTTGATTTTACGCTGCGTTTAGCAATATTCAAGCAACATCACGGCGGGGGACACCAGAAATGGGCTTCACACAGTGTACCCATGTTGTCGAACCCGGGTCTTCGGCGTGACGAGCAAACGCTTTAACCACGAGGCAACCCGACCGCCCCTAAAACTTTCACAAAACAGCCCAAACGAAAGAAGAATATTCTGTGTTTTAAAACAAAGTCACTATCGATTATTATTAAAACAAATGAAATCAAAAATGCATAGTAAAACAATCAACCGACTCAACTCAATAAGAAAAAACAAATACCATTACATACTCTCCAAACAAAGTAGGGGATGTTCTAAATTACCTACCAATGATATGAGGCATTTTACACGTGCGATAGAGCCAAGATGAAGACGGACATACCACAGGGGGTGTAATAACCAGACCCGCATTACAGCCCCTGCCGGGCTGATACCACTTGTCAATGCCTTTTTTAAAGGGCGATCGATATCAGCCAGGGTGGTAAGAAATTAGAGTTACGTCCCTTAGCATGTCGTCTGCTCGTCTGCTCAGCTAGCTTTCCCGGGACAATGACTTCCAAACAAGGTGAAAATGTTTTGTGTTTACTTGCAAATAGATACATTTTACAATTTTATGTCATGGCATGTAATAACAAGACTACCCCCAACTGAACCCGAGCCCCCCACATCAGCCCCTGGGTCGAAAGCCAGAGGTCTGATAATGGGGTCGCGGGTTGATATGGGTTATGACATAACCAACATGTTCTGCTGCGCTATTTCTGCCAGTTCCATGCGAAATCTAGAAGTAATCGTAGGAAATGAGAGCAGATGTTCTGAAAAAGATGTTCTATCTTTACATTATTGTACCAGTACTGTAATGGAGACTGAAGAGTCAATACTTCCACCGAACATGAACACGTCATATACCGATGGATAGCCTTTAAAGATTAAAATTGAACATTTGCGAATATATGCCACAATAAAAGTTAGTGATGTGAAAGTAAGAATGGAAAGATATAATCTGCTGACATAAGACCTATAGTGTAAGTAGCCTCGGAGAACCTTGCAACACAAGCACTTACCTTTGCAGGATCTGGACGGCATCTTGGTCTTGTATGTAGACCGTTTCGAAGTCACCTAATCCATTGGTCGTCGTTTTGCTGAGGAATCTTGTCACAGCAATCATTTCAAACATGATACGTTCATTTGGCAGAGCGTCAAGAACAGCCTTCATAGTTCGGCGTTCCTGAAGATATATTTGATGCTAAAATTTGTTTTTATTCTTCAATCAACTTAAACTGTATTCTTTCTGCTTCCAATAAGAATCTACCTAGGAATACGTGTGTTTTACCATTGAGAGTGGCAGGATATCGACTTTATCACATAGTGTTACAACAGTGAGAGTGGCTTGATATCGACTTTATCACATAGTCGTTTACCATTGAGAGTGGCAGGATATCGACTTTATCACATAGTGTTACAACAGTGAGAGTAGCTGGATATCGACTTTATCACATATTGTTAAAGCAGTGAGAGTGGCGTGATATCGACTTTATCACATATTGTTAAAGCAGTGAGAGTGGCGGGATATCGACTTTATCACATAGTGTTAAAGCAGTGAGAGTGGCGTGATATCGACGTTTATCACATAGTGTTACAGCAGTGAGAGTGGCGGGATATCGACCTTATCACATAGTGTCACAGCAGTGAGAGTGGCGGGATATCGACTTTATCACACAGTGTTAAGGCAGTAAGAGTGGCTGGATATCGACTTTATCACATAGTGTTACAACAGTGAGAGGGGCGGGATATCGACTTGATTTCATTGTTATAACAGTAGCTGGATATCGACTTTATCACAGTGTTAAAGCAGTGAGAGTGGCGTAATATCGACTTGATCACAAAGTATTTTACCAGTGAGAGTGGCGGGATGTCGGCTTTATCACATAGTGTTAAAGCAGTGAGAGTGGCGTGATATCGACTTTATCACAAAGTATTTTACCAGTGAGAGTGGCGGGATGTCGGCTTTATCACACAGTGTTAAAGCAGTGAGAGTGGCGTTATATCGACTTTATCACAAAGTATTGTACCAGTGAGAGTGGCGGGATGTCGACTTTATCACATAGTGTTACAGCAGTGAGAGTGGCGGGATATCGACTTGATCACATAGTGTTACAGCAGTGAGAGTGGCGGGAAATCGACTTGATCACATAGTGTTACAGCAGTGAGAGTGGCGGGATATCGACTTTATCACATAGTTATAACAGTAGCTGGATATCGACTTTATCACACAGTGTTAAAGCAGTGAGAGTGGCGTGATATCGACTTTGTCAAATACTGTTATAGCAGGATATCACATAGCGTTGTAGCGATGAGAGTGAGAGGGTTTCCACTCTATCAGATATAACCGCAAGATTTGCAGGATATCGGCGTAATCAGACCTCGTTGTGCCAGTAGGAATTAGATGATATTTGGTGTTAAAGTATAGCCACCTTATCAGCTGTTTTCTATCTGAACAGCCATATACTCTACAACAACGCTCACATTTCTTTAACCAAACCTCGGCTGCTAATGAGTCTCTTCCATCATAATGAGCCATGGGTAATATTGTAAGGAAACTGTTT